GCCGGACCGACGATTGAAGGCTCGAGTGTCGACGTCACTAAAAACTTTGATATCAAACGGTGGGCGTGTGTTGCAAAGTGCGGCGACCCAAACGAACCGAGTTGGAGATTTCCATCATTCAAGCTTCGATAGTAAATCAGCTCGACGAGATAGGCAAAGTGTTCTCGGCACGACATCAACGTGAATTATTTCCAATTCAGCACACGGACTATACAGTTTGTAATTGGCGCATGCAACAAACATTAAACTATTCCGCCGATGGAAAGTGCGATATTGTACGAGAGCGCGCCGCTTTATCTCCGTCTGGAGCCGCCGCCGCCGCGTGATCGCGCGCCTCATTCACTTATCGGAAATTGGCCGGCTTCGTTTCAATTAATCGCTCTCCGAAAATGTGCATGCTCGCTTCCATCAAGCCTGCAATAATTTACTTTGGCCCAGATGCGCCGGTGCCAATCGCGGGGCCTCCGTCGGGGGACACGTCAGGAATCGCAAAGATCGATTCACAGACAGATCTCCTGAAAGATGCGCAGTAAAATGAGAGGAAGGTCAAAATTCATATGTTAATTAAAAGACATTCATAATTATAGTAATTGCGTTTTCTGTGGATCGCTAACTAAGCATTATCATTATTTTTTAAATGCATATTTCAATAAAACGTTTTTTGCAGGAATATTCGCCATAATTTTAATGAATAGGTCTTTGGAGAGCACTTTTGTGTCACTTTTTTACAACCCTGAGCCTACGAACGGTGCGAGGCGTGCAACAATGGACAATATAGTGTGCAACCTTAAAAGGCATTCCCATTATGCCCTTTATTGTCGGCCACGCGCACTCGACATGAAACTCTCATCTATTATTAAATTGAATCTGCCGCGAGTCGTTGGACAAAAAAAATGGTCCCTGCACTCGCCTCGGAGCACTTTGCTCGTCGGCCAACTTTTTTTGCGGCGCAACAAAAGGGGCCGAATACTGCAAAGTCCGGCCAGCACAACACACCACTTTATACAGGGCACTCCACCGCCAACAAGTGACACGGCGAGGTCTCTTGATTTTCCTATAGCGAATAGTTTGGTTATTTGAGAGGGAGGGACGCACCGTCACAAAAGGATGAAGGCGAGACCAGAATGTTAAGGAGCCGCTTTCAGGTGCAACTCAATCGCCGTCCGTAGGAAAGTTAACTTTGTTTGCCAACAATTTGAAAGGACGCTCATTCAGGCTGTAAATTTAGTGTTGTAATTAAATCTAAATTTTTTATTTACAAAGTTTAAAAACAAGGAATTATATCAAATTTTCCTTAAAAGAATTGCCAATTAACAAGAATAAGAAAAAATTCAGTTTTACAAATTAATTGGGTTTCTATTTTTTTTCAGTCATTTTTGGATTCATAGTAAAAAGTATTTTGATTTTTTTTCAATAAAATTATAAACGAATCAAAACACCCACCAAGGAAAAGCGGAATTTCAATTCAAACACCATAAATAAATCGTAAATTATTACTAAAAATTGGCATTGTCTACTGCTTCAGTTAAAATTTTAATTGTTTTGGAAACAAAACCTACAAATTATCAAGGGAATGTATTCAATTGCAAATGAAATGAATAACTTAACAACTAAAATGTTCAATCATTGTTCAAAACGTTTTCCAAAGAAAAAATAGTTATTAAGAGTGATGTGATTTAATTAATTGCAAAATAATTTGTCTGATCGTTATGAAATTGTGGAATGCAAATCTCTATAAAAATGATGTAATATTCAATTTCGAGAGGTCTGTAGGCAGTAAAAGGTCGTCTCCGTGACAGCAATACAAATATTTGCCATTGCTAAAAACTCATATTTTAGAAGACGAAAAAGCACAAATAGAGCTTTTGGAATTATTGAATTTAAGCCTCGGATCTATTAACGTCAACTCCTGCTGGAACAGTTAATAAAACAATATATTCCCACGACGATAAAGAATAAAATGCATCTCTGCTAGGGTCGTTTATCCAACTTAAACAAATCAATGGTCGACGGACGACAGCAGCACTCGGAGCCGTAAACGGAAAGTCATTAATTTCCCCATCCGATCCGCCGCGTCAAGCTCGGAAATCCTTTGAATTTTACCTTTGCTTTTGCGCAAGTGTTTGTTTCGCTTCTCAACGAACCATAAAGTGCACCTGTTTCTCTCCTCAGCAGACAAGGGCATTACTTATGCAGCTAATGGGGTGCGATTCTTTATCATCCCTGCCACGTCCATCCTCCTTCCTTGAGCAACTCAGGAGCAGATGCATAATTTCTAGGCTCGATAGTCTTAATTACTTTTACAAGTTTTCAGCAGGGCTTATTGATTTCGAATACATTATTAAAGGGTGTGTCTCAACTTTGGGCTGAGTTTGTTTATAGTTTGGGATAATGTTACGCAAAAACTTGTGCCGATCGAGTTAAAGCCGGTTAAATTTTGCGAACATATGGAAAGCTTTGATGCGACGGATAAAATTAAAATAATAATTATTATAATAACAAAATTGATGGTAAAACTTTGAATTTTCAATAATATTATTGGATAGGCAAAGCACAAAAAAAAAATAATTTTAGAATCTCATGTTTCAGCAGATTTATTTTATAAATTACGCTTAAACTTTCAATTCATATGAATTTGTTTGCAAATTTATGAAGCTATAGTTAGGTCAAAAGTTAAATTACAATGAACAAAAAACGAGAATCGCTTTGTATTTGAATTTGAATAAGTAACTTACCATCGTAGAAATTCACAAAAAACACGAAAAAAAGCCTCTTTCAATTTTGAAATTTATATTATGCAAAATAAACTTTTATTTAAATAGTTTTATGGAATAATTGTTGCAGAATGAATTTTAAATTTGAAAATATCTCCATTTTATATGATGAGAACGTTGGAGAAAAATAGAAAAAATGAGAAAACAAAAAATTGTGAAAAGGTAAAAGTTGTAAAATATTTAATAAAAGGCAGGTAGAAGAGGCGCTGCAAGGTTGAGATATTTGCATATTAAGCTATGAAATTCATGTGTATGAAAACTTACTAAGACAATAATTAGGAGGAATGTGTCTTGTTTTCCACTCTCAAAGAGCGTGGCACACATAATATTAAACTTTGAAGACGAAAAAGGGAGCAAATATTATACAAGCGCCATATAGCTGAAGGCAGAAAATAATAATACAAGAACACCCTTGTCTTGACTCACGTCAGCTCGAACTCTGCAAAAGTTGAAGACAATTGTTCCTGTGATTGTTTGACAAGACAAATAAATTCATTTTATCATAAACACAGTTGAAAGTAATGAAATAAAAGCAGCTATTTTTAAAGATCAGTTTTATTATAAAAATAAAAAGGAAGGAAGTTCATAATTTCGAGTGGTTTGTAATTTGCAAAAGAGTTCGTACAAAGGGCTGTGCAGGAATAAAGACCCTTCTTTTTTTCTTTCACTCTTTTCCCCGTTCCATGATTAGCACCATTTGCCCTGAGCCAGGCAGGAATTCCAATTATATGTAGAACACACTGATGGCTTGATCGTGGCAGATAAAAATTCAATTCAACACACACACACGCTCTTTATATATAAAATACCTACCCGGGCAACGACGCAACCCGCCGTGCCCGGATGATTAATGTGAGAAAATGGCTCAGCTGAGGAAAATTCGATCTTCTCGCGCAAAACGACTCTTTTAGCTCGGCTTGTAAAAAAAAAATTGCATACAAACAATGTCATCTCATAAATTTCCCTATTTAATTAAAGTTTTCCCTTATTTCTTTCTATCCAGATGCAAAATCGTACAAAAGAAATAATTCAATATCCGGCGAGAGAGACAAAGGACCAATCATTGCGAGATAAAAATCTCGAGGAAAGCTCTCGACAAAATTGGCCCCGGATTCAATTTCTCAAGAGACTGCTTGCCAAAGGGGCAGATCAATTTTACCCCTGCCAAGGACGAACGCTAATTAAAAAAAGGGCCAACAGGCTGCTACCGCCAGACGCATGACCTCTTGACGAATTTCACTATCGAGAAGCTATTGGGTTTTTACTGAAGGCAAAAAGAAAAGGAGCCTCTTGTCGATTCCAGTCTCGATTCATTGCAATTCTCGGAATGTCCAATTACATTTAGTTTTATCAGTTTTAATTTGAGATAAAAAGATCAAGAATAATCCATGAAAAAAAATAGAATAATTTGGGATCAAATTTATTTTTACAGGTGATTTTTTTCACCAAGATAATTATAATATGATATTTGCAATCTCTACAGAAGTGTTAAACTATCCAATTTTTTGTTTATATTTGTTTAGAATTATTTATTTTCATAAAAATAAATGTATTTATTGTTTAATAAATTAATATGTCAAGAAATTAAGGACTCAATTTGAGATTGAACTAGCGTTTCATGAAGGAAGGAGGATGTGAGATTTCTAATCAGGGGCCGAGCAAAAATAAAATAAAAAACAAACGCCTGCTGAGAAGATCACTTGTAGTGGTACAAACTTGTTATTTGCAGCGTGCAAGCGGTTTTGATGCTAAAACTTGTCACAGGGACGGCAATGGTCGCCTCTGTATGAAAAGTTTATAGGATGAAATTAGAACCTTCTGAAATCGATTGGAGCATTTATTTGCGAAGGATAAAAATGAAAAAAAAAAAATAAATAAATAAACCCATTTAAACTTTAAATGAAGTTTAATTTATTTATAAATAATTAAACAATCGTACAATTTTTTGCTTTAATATATACGATTAATTATTTCGGAATATTTAATTATTCATTATTAAGAAACTTCTAATTAAAATATAATTGAAACAAGAAATTTAATTTAACTGAAAAATACAAATTCCTCATGATGAAGTTTAGACTTTCATATAATTTTTTGAGTTAAAATTGTGTTTGTGGGATAAGTTGCTCATTAATTACTTCAGCCCCTCAAAATTAACGCTCTCTCTTCTGCACTTCTTGATCTTCGTGCGGAATAAGTGTCGACAAGTTGATATGTATGATTGAGACTGCCTTGCTTGTTTCTCGCGCGTACCAATCGGCGAAAAGTGGAGCACTCGCCGCAGACACAATGAATCTTGCATCTCTCGGAGAGAATCCTCCTCACTTCGACCACGGCCACGCGACCATTCGGACACAAGTGCGCGAATATACAACACGTTCGAGGTGAGTTTTTCCGACACTCTTTTTTGCCTTTTATATCTGAACAAGAATCGTTGTTTCCTTTCAAAATAAGAGGTCCTCGGTATTAGAAAAAAGCCTCCAGAGATGCGACGTCTGCGTTATTTGTTTATCTTGCTTTGAGCAGAGCTAGGGCTAGCCCGGACAAAGAAGAGCTATTTTTGAGTGCTAACAACCTCAGAGATTGATCTGTGTTTGACCAGACTAAAACAACTCTCTGACATAAGGAAGAAACAAAAAATACAAAATTTTTTTCCAAGGTGAAATTTAAAAAAAGCATGGGAAAAAATTAATTTAAGACGATTTTTAGTTATTAAAATTTTAAAAAAATTTATTTTTTAATAAGTAATTTATAATATTAAAAAAATTAATGAAAATTTACCAAAATAAATAATACAATTAAAGAAATTATCTTTTAATTTGTGTTTTTTTTTCCATGAAATTTATTATTTAATTAAAGTTTTTATTTGCTTAAAATGCTGAATTTCAATCAAGATTAAAATAACCTTTTCACTTCAATATTTTTGAGAAATTTTCGTCCTATACTTGCATAATATGCTCGGTTTGATTCGTCGGCCGAGTACTACCTCAAGGTCGGTCAGTCTGGTTCAGCGGAGCAAAGTGACCTGATGACCAAGAGACTTGCTTGCCGCAGCGCTGCCGGCAAAAGTGAGTCACGCGAATGAAACGAGCAGACGATTTACAGCGTTGGTTTGTTTATTTGTTTGTTTGGCGAGCGCATTTTAATCAAGCTGCTGCATGTCCTGTCCGTTGATTTGCATCAAACTAATTTGCATCGGGTTTCATATGCAGAGACGACCACGCCGCTTAATTATACACATATTTGCAACCTCTGCGCTGGCACGCGAATGGCTTCTGGTATCTGTGTTTTGATAATTGTTTTCGGCCGAGTGCATGGAAATGCACTTTGCGACTCAATGTTTCATCCAGTACGGAAATTCCGATTGAATTACTTTGGTCAGATTAAAGACCTTCTCCGGTGATTTTTATTGCTTTTTTTATAGAAAGATCGCTAAACATTGCAAAAACACCATAAGAAAATTCCAAAATGTTTCATCGCAATCATAAAAAAAACGTAATTCGAGAAATTTGGTATTTACTTCTATTTGGTCAAAAAACTTCAGATTTTGGTCAATGGTGGCACTGCGATCGCTTATTTTGCAATGTTTTCTGCACAGTGCTGTGGGGTAAGAGTGGCAGAATTAGTGATCGCAGCGCCACCAGAGACCAAAAGCTGAAGTTTTTTGAGCAATTAAACTGACGGATAAACCCCTGCAACTCAATTTTCAAAATTTTTCCACGCGAATTACTCGAATCAGGCTAGCAGGGGAGTGAGTCTTGATATAGACTGAGTTTGCAAAGGAGAAAATTTAATGGTCAAATTCTGAATTTTCCTTCATGATCGAATTATTGGCCGACAGAGCAACAAAATTGAAGCCATAGAAACCAATAAATTATTGATATAATCCTCGGAATTAATTAATATTTGCGCTATTTACCTATTAGATATCGCATTTGGTTAATGAACTGCAATTCCAGCTTACAGTCGGATTACTGCATAGCTCTTCTTCTGCGAATATCCGACTGTAATGAGAATGCTAACGCACACCACTAATTATTCCAGCTGTTAATTATACTTGCATGGTGCACACGAAAGCCAGGAGAGAATGCAAATGTGGAGCGCGTTGCTGCGGTCCAGCGTAATTAGTTTAATTGGATGAATTAACATTAATTAAAAAGCCAAAAATGACCAAAAATTTTATTTAACAATAATTATTCTTCTATATAACAGAATAAAAATAATTAAAATATAAATTCCAATTTTATTTAATTAAAAGATTCAGTTGCTTGTTTAAAAGATTATTTGACAGATTTTACTCTGATTCTCTCTCCTTTGAGCACAACTCGGCTGCAGAGAAGATTATTTCACATAGAGACCTTTTTGCACTCAAATCTGCTTTTTGTGTGTGTTCCATTGTGTGTCACTGCAACTCGCTGGTCAATCGATATTGTAGCAGTAGTGCCTCTACTGACACACAAGTGCATTTCCGAGAAGCGCAGAGTGCATTTATGTGACCGGGATTTCTCTCGAATTAGAAAAGAGCCGCAGACCGACCGAACCAGTCGCGTACAGAGAGATCCGCTCTCGAATGATTAAGTAAAAAGCCGGTATCAAATCGCATACTCACGTAAGTATGCTAATTGATTTCAACAACCAAATCGGACGATTTCAAGCTCTACTTGAGACTAAAATTATTTCCGACATTAATTGCATATAAAGTTAATTTATGGTATTATAAAATAAATTAAGATATGAAAATTAGGGTTTTTGTGTCACTTTTTGAAACGCAGACAAAATGAAGTTTCTCAAAAAGTTTATAAAAAGTGAATTTGTTTTATAATTAATTTGATTGATTAATTAATTGATGTAAGAAGAAATTCGTATCATTATTTAACAAATCCCCAGAGATTTTCTGACAAATCCTCAGTAGATCTGTAAAGCTGTCAGTGAACGAATGATCGACTGGATGGAGAATAAAATTTGCACACCAGTTTGTAAATACAGAGAGCAGCTCTGATTAGTTCCGGCTGGGGATTTGCTCGCTCTCGCGCGTCGCCCGCCAGGGAATTCATTTGCATATTTGATTGAATTAATATTTAATACAACGGCAGACGGATTAAACACTGAGCCAAATTTGAAATATTTATCGCCTCGGAGCTGACGTTTTTCACGCGCGCCATTTTTAACTACTCCCAAAGCGCCGTAAATTGTAAATAGACCATTTGTCACATCATTAGTGCAAATGATTCCGCAGGGTGTCGACTCGGAATTGGAATATCGCATTAATTACTTCACGAGATCCATTTGGCACGTTTCACACATTTTTTTTCCGATTTATTCATTATTGTGTGTGTTGCAGATGAGGAGGTATTATTTATTCATCCTGCTGGCGTACCAAAGTTTGCACAGCTCATCTGCCACTTTTGACTTTCCAACCTTTGACGGCGCAAAACCTGTGAGTATTGGTTAAAAAATGAATCTGACAATTCAAAATTAATGAAAATTAACGTTCAAATAAGTTTTAAGAAGTCATGAAAAGAATGATTAAAAATTTAATTAGAAATTTTGAATTCTAACTGTAAAAATTAATGAATTTGAATTTAAATTAAGTTTAAAAGATGATGTTAAAAATAAGCACTTTTAGAATAATTTCAGTTAATTTTTAAGATAATTAACTTTCGCTTTAAAGGCTAAAATTTGAACAATTTTAGCTGATGAGCGCTCTGGGCAGCATGCAGCAATTTTTCTTCGGAGGCGGCGGGCCAGGTCGCGTGGTAAAAAGCGCGTCATCCCCCGAATCGGCCTACGCGTCCGCCACCGTCGGCTACGGCACCATCCTCAAGAATCCCGCGCCCCTGGTCAAGTCCGCTCCCTACGGCCCGCCTCGGCCTCCGCTCAGGCGGCCGGCGAGGCCGCTGGCCCGGCCTGTCAACAAGTACGCGCAGTTCAAGGGCGGCTACTACCCCAAATTCAAGCCGCAACCCCCAGGCACTTACGAGAAACTGAAACCAGCGGTGGTGGAACACAAACAACTCCAGGGCAGCAAGGAGTACCCTTTGCCGCCGCACAAGCACCACCAACCCTACGAGTACACCAGAAATCAGGTATTTAATTTGAAATTAAATTATATTTTATTTGTTTAATATACAAATAATTATTTTTCTAATTCACATTTTTTTCACAAAAATTCAATAAATTAAAATTTATTTAGCTCAAATTATTTATTCTTTCTGACTTTTTAATATCATATAATGTTTAATAAAAATCAAATAATTAAATTAAAAAAAAAACAATATTTGAAAAAGGAAAGGGAAAGAAACATTTTATAGTTTGCGTATCAAACAAATTTATTTCGCAAAAAACTTATTTTTAAGCAGTTTTATCAATCAATCGTGAATCGTGTCCCTAAAAATTCAGTGGGCGGTTATAAATTTATCAATGGGTGTAATTTGGAGGCGTTATTTTTCACAATCATATTTTTATTGCATAAATTACACATTCATAATCTTTGCAACTTCAAAACGGTGTTTATTTTTAGCTCAAAATGAATGGTACTTTATGAATGAAAATTTTGATTATTTTATATTTCCTGCTCTTTCTTTTGAAATCATTTAATCCCCAATTCAATGAAATAAAGCAGCTTAATTCTCAGAATTTTTGAAAAATATAAAATAAACAACTCATTTGCTTTTCATGCTTGGAGTGACATCAAAATTTAATCTAGAGAATAATTTTAATAATATTAATATAATGTCTAATTTTTTTTTTAAATTTAGTAATATACCTTCAATATTAATAAAAATTAAGAAATTTAAATCAATAAATGTATTAATTTTAAGGTACTTTACACGTCCTACACAACGGCGCCTGAAGAGTCAACCAAAAGCAACGCAGTCATCGTCCAACAAAGCGTCCGGCCGCCCATCCACATCTACCAGCAGCCGCACGTGGCCACGTCGCACCAGGTGTCCAACCTGAACGTCAAGGCGGTGGCGCCCGTCGTCCACCAACATCACCACCGCTCTGACAACCTGGTCGACTTTTCGCGGCCCGACCCCGTTTTCACGGCAGCCTCGATGGGTTCCGACTGGAAGCCCATCAGCTCGCCTGTGAATGGCAGGTTGCCCGAAAGGCGAAACGACGTTTTGGTGCACAAACAGGTGGAAGCGCCGCCGACCATCAAGAGACAACACGACATCATGCCCTACGTGACCATCAAGAAGCCGCACATCGACCGGTCAGACCATTCTTTTATCGACGAGGAACCCTCGGAAGAAGTGGTTTCGGCGGTGGTTTTCGTCAAGAAGACCAACGACGATTGAAATGTACAAAATTATTTAACTCGATTACTGCCCTTTCAATGAACACTTTGAAAGTTTTTCCTATGCAAAAATGGGAATTGTCAGATAATAATTATCATTATAATGTTTCTGCTTCTTTTAAGGATGACGTGTATTTAAACTATTTAATTTTTCTATTAAGAATTAATTCATTGGTGCCTACTGGAGATTGTTTTATTAAAAATATACATGGGAATCGTGGAGACTGTTGACAATAAACTCAGCTGTATAAGTACTAATCAAAATATTAAACTTCTAGTATGGCAATTGTTAATTATTATGATGTACATTTATCTATTGTTAAAAATGCAATATAATAAAGAAGGAGACGTCTCGTAACACCTTCTTTCCTAATATTAAACCCTGATTATCCATTGCACAAAAATTAGAACAAATCACAAATCTTGGTTCTGAATGAATCTGTTGCCCTCGGAGTTTTTGCCTGTGTAGCGAAACCGACACTTGCCATAGGCACCTGTAAAAGTTTTATTCACAGAAAACAATGAAATATTAATTAATTATTTACCTTGATGATCTCCAGCCGCTCTTCTTGAAACTGGTAAGGGTGTGTAGCTGCTGCTGTTCATGTCCGGCAAAATCAGAGGAGGATTATTCCCAAAAGGCTGAAATTTGCAGAGGTCAAAAAAGAAATTGATTTTAATCAAAAATTTCCGCTTTACAAACGTTCGAGGTTTTATAATTTTCATGTATTGCCCTCGTCGCTGAGCTTCAGATTTTTCCATCGGCGTCACAGGAGTCGAGTCAAGAAACTGAAGTTGCGGCAAACAATGCAAAACGTAATATCTAAAAGATTAAATTTTTTATATTTTTCTTGAATTTTTTCTTAAATTGGATACCTGTATCGTCTGTAATCTTCTTCGTCCTTTTCCGCGTCGGAGAGCTGATTTGGGCAGGCGACGTTGCCCAGGAGACTGAGGTGACGCAAACTGGACGTGTTGTTTGCAATTTTGTTCAGTAAGAGCTCCAGGTCGCAGATCTGCTTGGAGGAATTAATTTAAAACTAAAAATTTAAAATTAAAAAAAAAAATACCTTATTTTTGTTGAGAGAGAGCGTGCGCAGTTCGGGCAGGTAGGGCAGCTGCATCGCGTCGGTCAAAAGGTTGTTGTCCAAAACCAGGGTGTGCAGGTGCGGAAACCTTTCCAGGCTTTTCAGACTTGTGAGGCAGTTGTAGCTCAGGTCGAGACTCTGAACGCGCGCGCCATACAACTGGGCCAAAGTTGGAGGAATTCTTTGGCATTCTTGGCCAACGTAGCTTAGCTGTGATGAAATAATTAATAATTAACATCTAAACGTAATAAAATTTAATAAAAAATTTCAAAATCAGTTAAAATTTGAGAGTTACAAATTGAGTTTATTGACATTTCAAACGGCAATCTCTGCTCAAAACATAATTTAAAAATTCAAAAGAAATACAATTTGATTTTCAATTAAAATTTAAAAAGTTTTTTCTCTTGCAGTTCGTTTTTTAATAACTAAAATTTGCTTTTTCTAAATTAGGAATTTAAGTTTAACTAAATTAGATTGAAATAAATTTTTTTCAATTATTTGAAGCCAACCTCTGACCAACTGGTGACTGGAGTTACGAACGTGACGCAGCAAAGTTGACAAACGCTATTTTGTCTGCTCCTGGCCTTTCGGGGGTAAATTTTGGTGAGGCGGTAAGTAATGGAGTAGCAGTCGGAACTCAAAGAGCAAGTGCTGATACTAGAGACTAGCGAGTTCATATCAACCGCAAAGCTCGACTTGTTGGCAGCGAATGCACGCAAAGTGCTTCTTCTCCAACATAATAGTCAAAAACGTCAACAAATATTGGCTCTGCGAATCCTTTTACATGCAAATGTTATGCCATAGGAGCAAAAATAGACATAGCGGAAAAATGTCGCTCGCTGCTTTAATTAATACGCAAGGTCAGTTCTCTCTGATTTGCAGCGCCGATAATGTTGATTATTAAATAATAAAACTCCCAGCTGACAATGAAGACTGATGAAATTCAATAAAATAATTTGTTTATTTAACAATTTAATTTAACAAAACTTTTACCGCTACAAGGAAACATTGGGCATTGATTTTCTATCAGCTCATTTAGGTTATGATGAAATCGCATATTAATTAGATTAGATACATAATTGCAAAGAGTATTAAATTTTGCGCTTTATAATTTTGATTCAAACACAAATTACAACCGATTACAACAATAAATTTTGAAACAGAAATTTAACATTTTTGCTGTTTTAAAAAACCATTTTGCTTCTAAAATTGAGAACATTTAAATCAACATTTTTCTATCTTCATTTAAAATAAATTTTATTAAATCTAAATGATGTATTTGCGCAGAGATTGTCCAATGATATGTCAATAAACTCAATTTATAACTTTAAGTTTTTGTACAAACAGAATTGTTACTTTTTTATTAGATTAATTTAAAATATTATTTAAATCCTTTAATTAACAAATATTGACCAGTAGTGTAAGCAACAATTTAATAAAAAATTAATAATTTGAATGTTTTCATATACCGTTTGATACCAGATGTCAAATCCCTCTACGCTATTAAGGTCAAACCCTCATTTACATTTTAAATTTAAGTATTAAAAAATAAAACTTTATTAAAAATCTGCTATTGTCGCATTTCCGTAGAGTCTGTAGGCCATGAAATTATCGAAATTTTAATATTAAAATATTATGTTAAAATTTTTAACATAAAATCCAGGAAAGTCACATATCAAACTAAATTTATTATTTATTTTATTTTAAATTTAAGATTCATGCAAATCAGAATTGAGTCAGACCTGGCAAGAAAACGAAATGTGAACTTTTAATAAATATTGATACCTTAAGATGAAGTATATATAGAATTTAAAAATTATTTTTTATGCCATGCAAAAATAATTACGTTGTTGTTGTTAAAGTTCACTGCTCCAGTGTTGATGTAGTTGTGGGCAAGGTCAACAATGGAATCGTCCTCTTCCATCATCCTTACATAAGTCCGAAGCAGTTACTTACTTCGAATTACTTGCAGAAAACCGCAATTTTTTCAATATTAAAATTTGTCGAGTGAATTTCTTGCTGTCACTTTTTCTTGCTGGAGGTCACGTGCCTCACAGGTGTTTTGGAGAAATTGGAGAACGGGTTAAACAAAGTATTAACACGGAGATTGCGGTACGCGTCACAAAAATCAAACCAAGAATTATAAGTAAATATTTAAACCAACCGCTATTGTTAGAAGGTCTAAAAAATTAAAATATTATTACGAAAAATTCACCCAATTTCGAAAAAATCCTAAAAGTATCTAAAACATTTTAGCTCCTTACTGTACACCCCAAAACCATGCATTCAGCGCCACTGGTGGTAGAACTTGGTACTAGACAACAAAAATAAGCAAAACTTGGCAAAATCACACGTGGTTTTGTTTACAGAGTGTGAATTTTTGAATTAAAGATCACAGTTTTGACCAAGACGAGAAAATGCAGAAGTTATTGAAGAAGAAAAACAAGATTGAGGAGAACTTGGAAGTGATGGAAACTAAAACCGAGAAAAGCGTAGAGAAAGAAAAAGACGAGGAGATGGACGAGCCGGACGAGGTCTCAGAAAATGAAGAGCAAGAAAACGAACCGGCTGGTGAACTCGTGGAAAAAGGTGCAGAAAACGATGAGGAAGGACCCCCCGTCAAGAAGGGCAAAATAGAATCGAAAGGTAACGGAATTCAAATTGAATATTTAATAAAAGACAAACTTTTTTGATTCTATTTCCACAGAAAATAAGGAAGAGAAAGAAGCGAGGCCGCCGACGGAGGAGGAAATTTTCAGGAAGAAAATAGTCAAGCTAGGGGAGGTCATCCGCAGGTCGAACTGCCAAAAGCCAATTTTGGAGAAAACGCTCGATAACCTGAAGGACCTGCTCAAGGGCAAGTACGACAAGCACGTTTACAACCACGCTGTGAGTCGAGTGGTCGAGTGGATGATCAAGCTGAGTGGCCCCGAGTTGACCAAATCCATCACCCTTGAGCTCAGGAAGGATCTAAACAACATGGCCAGGCAGAAGTACTCAAGGCACGTGGTGCTCTGCCTCATCGGCAAGGCCGACAAGGAGACCTTTGACATCCTCCACAAAGAGTTGTCACAAGAAATCGTCAAATTACTTTTGCTCGGGGTAAAATTTTAGTGTTTTTATTTATTTTAAAACTTATTTCAAATCTCCTTTCAGACTTCGAGCTCTGTGGTGGCCGAAATTTACAACAAGTCCAGCAAAGTCCAAAAACGGGCGATGAAGCAAAGTTTCTTCGGCAGGAGTTTCAAGATTTTCAAGACAAACGAAATCAACACACTCAAGGATGTCAGCAAACAAGGCCAGACAGAAAAAGGAAGCATTTTTAGCGAGGTTTACGATAACCTCATTAAAGTGGTTGAAAAGTAAGCTCCGAGAAAATTAGCCAAGCCCATTATAAACTAACTTGACATAATTGTAGGAATGGAATTAAATCGGAAGTAACGGTGCAAGTTCTGCAAGAATTTTTGGAATCTGTGGAGCCGAATCTGAAAAAGCATGAGCCGTTTTTGAAAGTTCTGCAAAAGAACTTTGTCGAGCTTGAGCAATACGACGTCGGAGCCTGGTTGGCTTCCTATTGCATCTGGAACTCAAGTGCCAAAGAGAGGAAGCAAATTATGAAGGCGACAAAAGCCAAGCCAGATTTGGCTGCTAGCGCTGTTGGCTACGAGATGTTGATCACCATCATGGACTGCATTGACGACACAACTCTGATCAACAAAGTACGAAAAAATGAAAATATCCAAATGCGGAAGTACAAATTTGATTTTCAGATTGTGCTGCAGCCTTTGCTGGAAGATTGTGTGAATCTTTGTAGCAACAAAAATGGAGTCAAAGTGGTTGGTTTCGCTGTGAAACCGCGATCGACTCAGTTCCTCCACCCCCAACAAATCAAATTCCTGCAGCAAGGGGATGCAAATCAGCACAGCAAGAAAGAGATCGGACTCAGACAAAAGGAAATCAAAGATTTTGCAGTTCCCTTGATTGCTGGCAAAATCAAAGGAAATCTTTCACCGTGGATAACAAACGCTCAGAGATTTTTATTTTTGAAAAATTTAATGGACGAGGTTGAATGTGAGTTTGGTTTTATTTTGTTTAAAAATTTAATTTTGAATTAATTCTGTTGCAGACAAGGAAGTGGTTGAAGTGATGACAGAATTTGTCAGCCTTCTTGCCAACCCCGATCACAAAGAAATGGTCGAACACGAAGGTTCTAAAACAGAGATGCCCGTCATTGAGGTTCCGTTTGCTCAAAAGCTTGCCATGCACATGGTCAAAGAGGAAAAGGGCAAATATGCTAAAGGTGAAAATTCAATTCTTATTAATTAATTTATTATGAATTGAAAAAATTTTATTCTAGACTCGAGCTACACTCCGGTATTCTGTGCGCTTCTTGTTCCGGAAATAAAGAAAACGCCTGAATTCTGGCTTGATTGTAAGAGGGGAAGATTAACTTTCCTCTGGTGAGTTTGAAAAATACTTAAACTTTTTTAAATAAGTTGATTTTTTTTTTGTTCGGCAGCATGATGGAAACAGAGATCCCTTCGGTGACTGGAGAAGTGCGAGAATTTCTCAAGCCTCATCTAAATAAAATCAAGGGAGAGGGCGAAACATGCAAAATTGCCAAGGACCTGTACACAATATTGGCAGGGACTGACAGTAAAGTTGCTTTGGCTAACAAAATACCAGAGAGTAAAGTGGAGGTTAAAACACCAGAAAGCAAACCGACCAGAATGAGCACTAGAAGCTCGAAGAGGAATAAAAATTAAAAATGTTTCCATCTACTTTTGACATTTTAAATTGAAAATAAAAAAATTGAACTGAAGTTGAAATTTAATTAAAATTTGGTGAAATGACACATCACATTTTTTTAACCTGTTCATATATGCTGACTGTTGGAAAGGAAGTGGCATCACGGCCGCAACAAAATAACACTACAGATTGGCTCGCACTGCATTTCCAGCTGTGCGGACCAAAATGAGCAAATTTTCACTGCTCGTTGTTTTCATAATTTTGAGCCATGCGTCAGGACAAGTAAATTAACTTTCCAATCAAGATTTTGTTTGTTTTGATTCCATCCACAGTTTAACCCGGACAGTTTTGTGGGGCGACTGGTCGTTTCAGGTTAATATTTTATTGATATAATTTGTGTTGAAACAGAATACAAAATGATATAATTGTTATATAATTAGCCATCAAGCACACCGTCCAAAAACGAAGCTTGCCCGAGATCATGGGAATGGTGTCGACCATCGCCGGAAACGTGCCTGGCCTGACGATTTTAGGGCCGAACGGAGGCATCAACCTCCCTGAAATTTTAAACACTGTTCTCCCCCTTTTTGGAGAAGTTTCAGGCGGAGTGGTATATTTAAGATTTATTACTGGTTAATTAGAAAAAAAAATAATATCATTTCAAAGAGATGCTGCAAAGTTGTGGAAGTGCCAAACGCTTTTATGGAGAATCTGATGACGTGCATCATCGAACCGGCTAATTCAATGGGGAAGAATATTTCTTCTAGAAAGGCCCAGGGCCTTGGTAATTTTTAGAATTTGAGTTTCATAAGAAGTAAATTTTATCTCTATGTGAAATTATAAATTAAGAGCAACATATTTGACTAGGACTAGAGAATAATAAATTTTAATTAAAAAAAAAAAAATAGAAATAATTTTTATATTCAAATCTCATTAAAAAAAATTAATTTTCATTTTAAATAATTATTTCAGCAAATATGGTCCATCCACCTGTGTCATTTGATGAGTTAGCCACTCTAATGAAAGGAGAACTTGTAAAATATTTAAACTTTTTAAATGATTAACAGATAAATATTATAAATTTGTAGTGTGCGATGCGATGCACTTTTGAAAAACTGAACAAGGTTTGATAAATATAATATAAAAATTTTATCTTTATTATATTTAAAAACAAAACCTTATTTTTATTTGTAGTTGGGCTTGGATGGATTGCCCAGTAAAGACTTGTTAATGGAAACTGTCAGCTCAGATTTTAAACCAGAAGCAGTGGAAATCGCAAAGAAAGCATTCGAATCGTGCGACAAAGACATGAGAATCGAGCAAAAGTCTTTAGAGCAAGAGTTGACCATTGAGGACAAGTGTTGGGCGTCGAATTCAATGGTCGGATGCTTGGTCGAAAAATTCCATGAAGTATTTATACATAAAAATACTAATAAATTTAAATTTATACTAATTTCTGCAGCACTGTCCTGAAAGTGAACGGATCGCAGGTTTGTGATAATAGTAAAATTTTGAATTTTTTGAATTAATTAAATTATTTCTGCAGGAAATCAGTGCCTTGCGAATTTGGGATCAAAATTCTGGGGCGAATTCCCAAGCAAATTGAAAACAATTATTAATGATTTTAAAGGACACATCATGAAGAAATAAAATAAAATTTCAATTAATTTGTGAAACGACGCGGAAAATAAAAATTATTCCTATTTCTTGCTGGCATATTGTGATCCTTCATTTAAATTTGCTACCATTTCCTATCTTATGAAATTATAAATAACATAATTAAATTGAAAATTTATGATTAAAATTCGCTTTAATTATAAATGATTATGTGTTGCGTGATTTTTCGTATTTGATTCGGTGTTTTGCAGTTTTCGCATCAGTTGCAAAACCGTGGATTGTGCTCTTTTCCGTCCCCAATACTCCGCACGGTCGTCACATGACGTGTCCCGAAACTTTTTCCATGATGGCTTCCTTTTCCTGTCGTAGAACATAAAACACGGAAAATGATACACTGCAAGGTCGCGCTTGTCCAGATAGAGCATTAGCTGGTTTCGCATGAATATATTTGTATAAAAGTTCTGCGCAAAGTTCAACCACAGGGATTGGATTGTGGCTCCACAGGGCTCAAGAAAACATGAGGATGTTGGGTGCACTGATCTTTGCCCTGCTCCTGAGCTCAACTTTTGCGTGGAATTTTGCTGTGAGTTAATTACCTGCGGTCCTAATTACTTGGTGCCAAGGATGAAAAATAATACATTTCTCCGGCTCGTGTTAAATACACTATATTTTTTTAATTTTTAAGAGCCGCGGGTGTCTTAAATTAACAAATGCATAAAAAAATTTAAAAAAAAGAATTCAATTTCCTATTTTTTCATTTATGACGAAGATCAAAGCCCGGTTTCATGAAATCCAAATATTTCACTTAAGAGTGTGAAATTTGAATTTGATTATTATTTATATAATGTGTATGCGATTAATTTGCTATTTTTATGATATAATTTGTAATTTTTTTACCATTTTTATTTATTTAAAATTTGATGATATTTAAAAAATTCCTCACATTGATTGGTGAATTGAATTGAATTAAAATCGAGAATGCACAAAATATATAAATATTTAAACCGTTCCGGTAATAATATTCTTGTTAACTGGTTATTTTAAATTATGCAACACGCACGACTTTAATGTCAAGAGAGTTGCGTGCCTAAAAAATTATAATTATTATGTTAATTTATCAAATAACAAGGAGATTATTTATATTTTAATATAATTAAATCTAGAAACCTGACGATGAAGAGCAAAAACTGATGGACGAGTTCCAAGAATATATAAATAGTGAGTATTTTGTTGTTTTTTTCTGCGCGCGTGGCCACTTTTGACGGATAATTTTGCTGAATTACAAAAATAAAATTGTCTAGAAACTTCGAAATCATTTTAAAAGAGGCATTTGATGCAAAACGAAAAAATTTTTATCAAAAAGGGTAATTTAAATTAATATTGTTTTAAATTTCAAGCTCCTTTTGAGGAGAGGCCTCAAGAGGATCATAATTCTCGCCATAAGAGACAGTTGATGGAGTTGTTGTCAAGCGTCGGAAGCAGTGGTGGCTCTGCGATTACAAACTTGATCCCTGGATTTTCAGGTGAAGCCATTAATTTATATAAATTTTTTTTACAAAACACGGTAAAGAAGGTCAACAAATGCAACAATCAATTAATTTTAAAGAATTCATCAAATTATAATAAATCTTGTAATTTTATTTTCAGATTACGGACCAGCGTTCATGTCTTTGCTTAACAACTTCCTCGGTTTCATGGTGAAAAATTGAATTTCGATAAATTTCAGAATTTTCGAGAGAATTGCTAACGTTCTGTAATTTTAGAAATGCTGCGCTCCTATAAATTTGCCTGATGTCGTTTCCAAGTTAACACTCAAATGCTCAGATGATCTTTCAAACAACTTTTTTGCCACCACTGGTTTCTTGAACAGAACGGAAGCTGGTAAATTTCATTCTAAACGTTTCTTTGATACACGGTTAAAAAATAAATAAAATTCCTGTTTAGAAAAGAAAGAGACTATCTTCATGAAATCTGGCTCTCTTGGCGGCTTTTTCGAGGCTGAACTGGTAAAATTTAATTAAAACATCAAAAAATATAAAAAATTTCATCAATTCATTATTTAAAAGTGCACAGTCCGTTGTGTGTTTGGAAGAATGAAAATGGTAAATAATTTTAATTTTATAATTTCGTGAGTTCAGATAAATGTAAAAAAAAAAAAAAAATTAAGTTAACGTCGGACGGATTGCCGTCGCCAACCGCATTGAAAACGACGATTCCGAAACTGTTCAAAAATTTTACCAGCATGTTCGAACCTTCACTTGCGACTTGTGAAAAGAGCTACACAGACCAGTACAACGCATGGTTTGGTGAGAGCAATTCTAAATATTTGTCATCAAATTTAAAATATTTTTTATCAAGAGAGTCAAAATAAATTTGATTATTTTGCGTTACTTTCTTTGTAGAAAGCAAAAGACCATTGTCAGACTCTGATCGCTGCTGGGTTTCATCGGCCTGGGTCCAGTGCATGTACAGAGAGTTGATAACAGTATTACGATTAATTATTTAATTAAAGATTTATTGAAAATTGCTATATTTCAGAACTGCCCAGAGGAACAAATTCAAGCTGGTGAGTTTGCGTTTTAATTATATATGTATATTTTATTAATAATTTCAATTAATTAAGAAACGTTTCCAATTTGGTTCTTATCTTTATAATTGAGAGAAATTTAAAATTATATTTTTCTGATGACTTTTTTTCTTGATTATGAGTTTTTTAATTCCTGCAGGTTCGTTGTGTCTGCAAAAATTGGGCCCATTTTTCTGGGGAGAGTTGCCGAAGCAAGTGGGCCGTTTCTTTGCCATCGTCAAAGCGATGATAGATATTCTTTAACAATAATTTCTCTTCAGTGTATGCTAAATGCAATTAGGATTTTACGGATTAATATCTTGGCATGATTCAAGCTTCTAATTATTTTTACCAAGTTAATAAAAAAAGAAGTGCTTTTGTTCAAATTCGATATCAAATTTTTATTAATCTTGTGTTTTTAATAAAAATCATAAAAAATTTAATCTGTTTTAAGAAGCCCTTAATTTATTTATCTTGTGCATATTATATTAGTTCAGCATTTGGATTTTAAAGAACTTTTATCGACTTATTGTTTTTATCCCTTCTAATTGTGCATATGATAAACTGCAATTATATAATTTCTGTCTCTGGCAAAATCCATCATCGCCAGGCAAAAAAGGGAAAAAAATGGCTTAAAATGTGCAGAAGATTTGAGATTTTGTTCTTGGTACTCACCAAGTCCTGGTTTTGATGTGGAGTTAAACATCTTTGAAGGCTGATTTGTCCAAGGTTGCTCCTATTTTAATCAAATATTTGATTAATTTAATGGCATAAAAATTATCAAAAAATAGTACATAGCACAATCAAAATATGACACAAACATGCGTGGTAATTTTTTTTAAGTAGAAAAAATTTGTTGTAAATTTACAAAGGACAAATAATATTTTAATTACACACATTTTTTTTTAAGATAATAATATTAATTCAAAATATGTCACCACTATAAAACTAAAATGACCATTAGATTCAATTTGAGATTTATGTACAATTATTCTCATGCGAAGAATATTTTATAAAAATTTTTAAATAATTTATGAAAACCTGTACGAAAAAAAGTGCTGAAGTTTGTATTTTTGAATTTCAAAGAAATAACCGGAAATAACATTAAATAATCCAATTAATCATCGCACTTAAGAGTCTTAGAGAGACCAACTCGATAAATTCTTGCACAATGGAAACTTTTAACGCAAAAATTAAAAAGATATAACAAATAAAATGCATAAAAAAAGATAAAAAGAATGAAGGATTATGGCACATAACTTACTTTTCATTCAAATTAGACGCTGCATGAGCAGATCAAAATCACTTAAAAATCGACTGTTTTTCTAGTTTTTCGCACACTGTACACTGTATTTGCATAATTATGTACAACACACAGCCACATACACATGAATCATGTTGTAATGTTGCAAAAACCAATCTAAAACTATAGTGAACAATGTGACCGGTCTCAGGAAAGATTTGTTCAGGAATAATTTGTTTTCTCGTTTCTCCCTCCATTTGTGTATCATGAAGTGATTTTTACAGTTTTGCACAATAAAATTTCCTCCACTCACCATATTCCAGATTCCACTACGTGAAATCCTTCTTGCAGTACGTGTTTCATTCTTTTTAAACATGTTACGACTTGTATTTTGTACTCGCGCCTTCACTTTCTCTAGAATGTGGTTGGTTGTGACGTCACAAGGTGCAGCGCAGGCCTCGACAACAAATAAGGGGCGTGGCTAATCCTCTTGTCTCTCTGTTGTGGTGCCCTCGATCATCTCGGCCCACAATTAATATAATTTTCCGCAAGAGGAATATTAATTATTTCTTGCCCAAGAACACATCAGACAACAATCTTGCCTTCCTGCCACACTAATTGCCCTATTTAAATACTAATTTTTAAACACGATGAAGTGTAATTTTCTTCTTCTCTCGCCACTTTCGCCTAAAATGAAACTTCTAAAAAGTTTTCAAGCTGGGTTCCTTTAAAATTAATACATACACAAGACATACAAAAATGACTGGTAAGTATGCTGTTAAATTTAATGATGATATTAATTTGAAGTTTCTTATTATTTATATTAAATTCTTAAAGGTGCTCCACGAAAATGCAACTCCTTTCTGCTCGGTGTAGTTTTTGCCAGCGTTACTTGGACGGTGATTTTGATTCTCTACATGCGGCTGGTGAAAGAAAGCAACCTGAATTCAAGCAGGTTATCACCTCAGCCCTCATCCTTGATGGTGGTCCACGAATTTTTGCCGAAAGAAGCGCACAACAAAGCACCCAGTCTCGACGATGGCGATAAGAAACACAAAGAAATGGTAGCAAATTATTTTGAATTAAAAATTATATTAACCTGCTTGTCATCTTAGTTGGCTCAACTGCAGCCAAAGAAGCTGGAAGACGAGATCGGTCTCGTTCGATCTCCGGCAGAGCAACGACTGCGAGACCAAGGCTACAAGAACCACGCATTTAACACTTTAGTTAGCCACAAATTAGGCTACCACAGGGACATACCTGACACTCGAAATCCCCTCTGCGCCAGTCAAGAGTATCCGCAAGACCTGCCCTCCACCTCGATAATTATCTGTTTCTACAACGAAGATCTGCACACCCTGCTCAGGTCGGTCCACTCGGTCATCGATAGATCGCCGACAAATCTGATCCATGAAATCATTTTAGTCGACGACAATAGCAATTTAGGTAAAATGCATTTGTTAATTATTCGAAATTGTCTTAACCTTCCAAATTTTGTATTTAGATAACATTCATAAAGAGCTGGAGGTGTACTGCAAAGACAACCTGCCAATAGTTATGGTGACCAAGACACCTCGACGGGAAGGTCTCATCAGAGCTCGAATGTTCGGAGCAAGTAAAGCCAGTGGAGACGTAATTAATTCCTGTTAAATGTTTGAAAATGATTAATCAAGTTTATTCAGGTGTTGGTGTTTTTGGACAGTCACATTGAGGTGAACAAAGACTGGCTTCAGCCGATGCTTTTGCGTATTAAGGATGAGCCAAACTCTGTGGTCACCCCGATTATCGACATCATCAATGCCGATACCTTCCAGTACACACCCTCACCATTAGTGAGAGGTGGTTTCAACTGGGGTCTCCACTTCAAATGGGAAAATGTGCCTCAATGGCACCTGGAAACCGAATCAGATTTCATCAAGCCAATCAAGTAAAAAATAATATTTTCGTATTGAAGAATGTAAAGTAAAATTGATTGTAGGTCTCCTACTATGGCTGGAGGATTATTTGCCATGCGAAGAGAGTATTTTGAAGATTTAGGGTCGTATGATTCCGGGATGAACATCTGGGGAGGAGAAAATCTGGAGCTTTCATTCAGAGTAAAATTTAAACAAATCATATTTTATTTAGTCTCATTTCATTAAAATGTTTAGGTTTGGATGTGCGGTGGTCACCTAGAAATAATTCCGTGCTCCAGAGTGGGTCATGTTTTTCGAAGACGCAGACCTTACGGTGCCCCGGATGGAGAGGACACCATGACGAGAAATTCTCTTCGAGTCGCTCACGTTTGGATGGACGATTATAAAGTAAATTTTGTTGCTATCTGAAATTTTAGTGTAATTAAAAGTCAATTTTTAGGATTATTTCTTCCGAGTGCGTCCAGATGCTCGGCACATAACCTATGGAGATATTTCGTCCAGAGTGAAGCTCCGAGAACGTCTCAAGTGCAAGTCCTTTGATTGGTACCTGAAAAACGTTTATCCCGAGTTGACCCTGCCATCGTCTGATAAGGAGAGGGACAGACTTAAAAATAAGTGGCAGGCTCTTGATCCCGGAGGCAAGAAAAAATTCCAGCCGTGGCACTCGAGGCAAAGGAATTACGTCAGTGAATATCAGGTTTGTTTGAAAAAAATTCTATGAATGACAATTAATTTTTAATTAATTATTCAGATTCGTCTGTCTGGCACAAATTTGTGTGTGCAAAGCGAGAAAGACGTAAAATCAAAAGGATCGTATCTGATGCTCACAACCTGCTTAAGAGTCAAAGCTCAAGTATTTTTTTTTTATTTTCATTACTAATCAATAATTTAACAAGTATTTATTTATCTATTTTAGATGTGGTACGAAACTGACCGTCATGAACTGGTTCTTGCGCAGCTTTTGTGTTTGGATGGAACCGGAGACACACCGAGACTCTCCAAGTGCCATGAAATGGCAGGTCTGCAAGAGTGGCAGCATCCCAGCAAGGTAAAAAATCCATGAATTATTTTAATTTTTCATTAATTCAAATTAAATTTAGACGGAGACTGCCGTCTACAACATGGCAGCTGGAACTTGTTTAGGGGTCCAAGAGCCTTCGAAGGGTTCCAGGGTGACGATGGAACTCTGCACGAAGCCAACAGGGTCCAAGTGGGACCTGGTGATTGCCAGAAAAATGCTCGAAGAAAACCCGAGACTGTGATCCTCATGTAAGCTCTCTTTCAACTTTTTAATATTTTTGTCCATTTCTTGCTTTAATCTTCCGCCCATCGAAATCTCCATATTTGAATGTAGACGTAAATAAGTACAAAAATCTAAGATATCTGTTAATGTTAGGTACGAATCATGAATGTTAGCTGACTTATTGTTAAAAACTACATAATCCAGCAACAGCATAAGTGTTAAATATTTCTGCTCAAATCTCAACTTGTAGTACGATAGTTGATGTGATCTTGAACTTTTCCATTTTGAAATTTAACAGCAAAGTCTCTTGATTTAAAAGAAAAAAAGGAAAAAACTTCTATTTACTTGGCCATTTTTTACCATTTTTACTAATATTAAGATTAATGATTTTATTCCAATTTTTAAATAAATTTGTTATGTTTCATACATTATTGTTATGTGTGTATTTCTGAAATACAACTTGGCCATAAATTGTGTACAGTAACCAGCTTGCTTTTCATGAAATCCACTCTCACTGTAATATTTATTCATTGCAACAGACTAGAATGCCTTTCAAGGCCAACACACACTTAGGAAAATTAATACACAAAGCGAGGAGGTCTGTGACGCCCGTCAAATTGGTATCTCCCAAAGTCATCCTTCACAGGCAGTTTCAGTTTGACGTTTCTGGCGCTAGCGATTTTCCAGTGCCTTGGTCGGACCTTTGCACTCCACTTCTTCAAAGATTTTTTATTCCTTCGTCCTCTCAACTCAAAGTACAGTCGAACGGTGAAGAAGTAGACAAACTCGACGACACTTAGCAAACTGAATCCCATGAACAAACCAAATAATCCTCCAGCATTGCCTAAGGCAAAATCTATTGAAATATTTTAAAACTTTTAAATCTGAAAAACTGTACTTAACAAAGTTTCCCACGACATGAGCAAATCCCTTCTGTACCGAGTTCCGATCATTTTGCCAAAAAACACGTAGATGATGGAATGGTTTTCAGGGTGGTAAGGATTTCTAAATTATTCGTGAAAATTTTTATTTTTAACTGATTATTTTTCTTACGAAACGGAGTTGCGGAGATTTCCTGAGGTTGTTTCATAGCGGTAGCTTATTTCGTTGCACTGGGGTGAGCAATCACAGTCCATCCCTTCCTGTCCGTCCCACAAATGATTCCCGGAATTTTCCAAATCTTTCAAATTCGGTCTCAAACGGCTTAGCAAAACTTACATACATTTTTTTATGAATTTTACTTATAATTTTTGATTAAATATAGTTTTTAAACCTTTATGTTTGAAGATGCAACTCAAATCTCTAAAGTCGCACAATCTCACGTTGTCTTTGCAGAAATAAAGCAATATTAACAGATTGAAATAGGTAAAAAAAATATTGAACCTCTTGAGGGGTAATAGTATGGCTGGCAATGGCAATAATCCATCACGTTTATCCGTCTGCAGTCTACGAGACAGTTATCTCTGCTGTATGTGGATTGACCATTCATCTATGGACATGTTAAAATATAATTGAGTCCAATGCTTAGCAAATTTACTTCTCCAGATTCTTTAATAGTTGACGCGTCTTCGTCCTCCTCCTCAAATATGCATCCACTCTTTTGAAGGGGCAACTTTTTCACTGGCATGGTCGACGAGGTCGTCTCCGCTGCTACCCTGATGAAAGTATACTGCCCTTGTGAAATTAGCTGATCTGCCGCCGACCATTGGTTTGGGTAGTTGTACCAATTGTGCAACATCACCTTTTTTCAATTTTAATTAATAATTATCATATTTCTAATTTATTTTCCTACTCTCATCGCCTCTGTAGAAACAAGAGGAACAAATCTTTCCTTCAAATCGAACCTCAGGGTGACCCTCAAACCAAATTTGTTGCCCACTGAAGCTGTGTACAGAGGGGTCAGTGAAGACGGTTTTGCTCTGTTTGACGTGCAGTTTCTATTAAAAATAATGTCTATTTTTTCATGTGTAAGATTAATTTTAATCAATACCGGCCAAAGCACGGCTCTGCATAGTTAAAAGAGCAGCAAAATCCATTGTCACTAAGGCTGCGGGTAAACAGCTTACTGCAGTCCACTTCCACCCCTTTCCACTGACATTGGACCATAATATCGGAACAACTCGGTGCCAACTTCAAATATTTATTATTATATTATTTTAATGAAATTTCAAAAAAATTTCTTACGTCTCTCATAAGTTCCGTCAAGCCCACCCCGTTCTTTGTAATCGCATTTTGTAATAGGCTGACGTTGGAAAAAGGAACGAAATTGTGCTTCAGTATCTCTCGAAAGTGAGGAAAGGCTTCCATTAGCTCATTTTCCACAGCCTTGTTTCCCTCGCTCCTGAGAAAAAAATTCCGATTTTAAAATAATTTATTACTTTAAATTTTTGTATACATTCTCTGCACCAGCCTCTTTGCTTTAGAAAGAACAACTTGGTTCGGGTCGCAGATTGTGACTGCCGGAAAAGGTACCTTCCACACAGGAAAGTTTGTGGTTTCGACGGCGGTGGCGGTCGGCGACTCGAGGTAGCGGCTCCACGTAGAGAAGATCAGGACGCTGGCCACTGTGATTGCACAGCTATGACACACTAGCCATACAAACCTTAAAAACACATTATTTTTAGCCCCTGCAAAACGAAAGATAGGCAATTCGCTTGACGCGGCAACCGAGCAAGTTGCCTAAATTCCCAAATTTTCCTATAAAAATTGTAAAATCTCTGTTTTTATACCTTTCAATCATCGGCCTGCCAGGTTCAGTGATGTATTGGTACCCATGCAGAGCTGTGCAGCTGCAGTATTTGCAAAACTGCCGCCATAAAACTGCGCCTGCCGAGCGAATGCGATCTGCGGACCTTTTTCTTGAGGAAATGAATAACTCGTTAACGCTCATTTTCATAACGTTTTGAACCTTCAAGGGCCACGAACAGACTAGTACAATTTTATAAAAATTGCCAAGACTTGAGTTGATTATCAGCCCTCATGATCTTTATTTACACTTCCATCAAAAATAAATTTTATCGTGATGACATGCCTACTTTTTGAAAGGAAGACGCTCTGAAAGTGATTAGAGAGATAAAAAAGTGATCAACGAAAGTGCACCAAATTTTCCTGATATATTTTGTCAATAATTAGAAAAATAAGTTTATAATTTTAACAGGAAAACTTCAGTGTTTATTTAGAATATAGTGGTGTATATATTAAACCTTTCCATTCCAAAAAATTTTTCAACAAAAAGCTTTCAAAAAATAACAGTTTTACAAAACAACTTAAGACTTATTGGCAGTCTCCAGAACGTTAAATATATTCTCGTATGCAGTCTTGAGCGAAGAAACAAATCCGGCTCCGTTATTGTTAGGCGGGTAGCTGCTGACTATCGCGCCAAGCATGTTGTCCATGATGCTGTACCTAAAATAAAAATTACCAAAATTTATTCTCAAGTCAAAATGATGCAAAACTAATAAAGTACCCGATTCCAAGGCCATCCTTCACAACAGGCCCAAATGCGCCGGCGGCCACAATGTCGGAGGAAAGAGTGGAGGTGGAGAGAATATTGTGATTGATTGCAGCATAAGCTGGATCAGAGAAAATGGCAGGAGTGATTCCTTTTTTCTCTGCAAGGCGACGCAGGCCGAAGAGGTGTCGATCAAAGCCTTGGCCTGTTGATAAAAATATTAATGACAAAGAAAATTAATTTAAAAAATGATTCATTTACCCATGGCGGCATCTTTTGTCAAATTTCCATGCACTTCTGAACACTTTTTGATCATGGCAAGTAGTTCGGTGTTTGAGGGCTGATTTGAGCCGTTGATGGCGTTGCAGACAGCCTGGGTGGCCATGGTGCAGGGCCGCACTGTTTCTGTTCGTCCGTGTCGGAACGCGGCTGTGCTGCAAGATTCGTAAGTGGCCACATTTTTCCCCGCAAGTTTGTGGTATCCAACCTTTCAAATTAACATTTTTTTGGTAAACTTTGGAATTGTTAAAATAATTTACTTTACCTGGAATCCAAGCTGCATGATGGCATCAGGACTGACTCCGTGTTTCTTGCACAATTTCTTTCCGTAGTTGTGCATTTCCAAAACGTCAAAAGCCAAGGATTTGGAGATCGCTTCATGATTTTTCTTGGCGTCGGCAATGCTCTTCTTGATGCTGTCATTGATCTTGAATTCTGATATAATATTTAATTGAAATAAATTTTAAACGTTTTTTAAAAAAAATTACCCAGTTTCCTGACATGATTCGCAGCGTCAAAGTTTGACTTTGTGTCGGGATGTACTTGAGGCAAGTTGGTGCTGTCCTTGAACATGTCGGTAAAGTAGCGGAGGATGGCGACTCCATCACCCCAGGAATGCTCAAAGTTGATCCCAGCAGTTCCATCCTTGGCAATGATCAGGGAGAAAGACTTATCGAACCACCTGAGAATTCAAATATATTTTATTCCTGATTGAAATAACTCAAATTCTTAATCACCTGTTCACTCCGTCTGAATGAAGATAATTTCTGAGCAATTTTTCCCTGTTTGTTCCCATCGTTTCATCGTCCAAACACAAATTGAAGATGCTTGAGTCGAGCACGTTCAAAACTTCTGCATTGCCTTGAGACTCAAGTTCTTGTCTCGCTTTGGCCCACACATCCCTGTTTTCCGAGGTCAAAACTCCGATCGGAAACTCGGATGCAGGAGAATTGTCCTTGGAAATGTAATCGATGCAAGCCAACAGATCAGAAGGTGGCAAGATATTTCCTTAAAAAATGAAATAAAAGGTTTAAGAAAATTAACAAAAATATGGATTTACCATTTTTGTCCAGGGCATCAAAAACATAAAAGTTTCCCTTTCTCATGACCAGCATGTGGTTGGCTTTGTCGTTTTTCACAATGCTGTCTTTGCCCACACCCGGGACTCGAGTCGAGTTGAAAAGGTTGCCATATTGTGACATGTCCAGCGGAAAAGCCTAATATACATTATTTATTTATGAAAGTAAAAAAACTATTAATGCCAAAAATACAACCTTGAACAAATAGGCTCCGTACCAGGAAAGAGACGACGGCAGAAGACCAGTCACCGTGTAAAAAAGATCTGTGTCACTCTTCTTCGGGTTCAAATGGAAAACCTCCGGGGCCAGAATACCAGCTCGCAAGGATTTCATGATTCTGATTTACAATTATAAGATAAATTTTCAAAATTTCCACAAAATTTCTTAATTGTTAAAACCTCAAGGAGGAAATCATCATGTTGGTTGCTCTGATGACCTGGTCATTGTAAGCAGGTTTCGGGTCGTTGACCAGGACAAGGATTGGGTTGTAGTTGATGGGCAGAGGCACTCGGTCCTTCAGGTACATGTCAAACCAGGGCCCTGAAATGTAGCTGGTGTGCTTGTTGGCCTTGTCCTCAGCCACCAACTCCTGCTGCAGGGAGGGGCCCTCTCCGGCTACGAAATCATTTGCAAATTTCGTGGTCGCTTTGAAGGCATCGGAACTTTCCCCCAGAAGAGGTTGTTGAGCTTTCAAGTATTTGTCCCTGGTGTCCTCTAGTTTTGGAATGGGCAGCCGTGGAAGGGACTTCTGGAAGTGATTCGAAGGCAGGCGGCTTTTCTGGACAAACTGATAGTCGTATTCGCTGGAGGAACTAAATAGTAGGAAATATTAAACATCTGGTGATGTTAACAAGGTGCTTGGATATTATACCTTTTTAATCTGATGGCTCCGATAAAAGAGCTGCGGATGTGACGGGACTGAATAAGAGCCTGAAAAATAAGTGAAATGTTATTTTTGACAGGAAAATATAAAGAAATATGAATTTACCGAGTGTTTGCCGAGTCGTATCAACATTGTTGAGCTTTTTCTGCACAAGTTTTCACTCGCTGTAAAATTTAGAAAATTTAAATTTTTATTAAATTAAAAATAAATAACTTTAAAATGTCAGTAAACATTTTGGTTAAAAAAAAAAATTGAATAATGGTGGTTTTAAACCAATTTGAGACGGAAAACAAAGATGACCGGCTGAAGCTCAACGTTAAGGAACGTTAAATTTCAAAGTTCACCTTAGCAGCACGACTCACGTTATGCACTGATTGCTCATAATCTTTATTTGATGAACGCTTGTTATGTTAAAATTTACATACAAACTTTTAATATCAAAACAACAGAGGAAAAGTAAACAGATTTTAATGGGAAATTTAGGATTTTGATTTAATTTTGATAAAAATAAATTTAAGGCACCTGATTGTAGATGATGTGCTTAAATTGCTCAGAGTCCAGGTCAGAGGTGACTTCCTTCAAAAACACATGTCCGATGTAAACAAAGAAGCGGTGCTGCCACCTGCGCTCCCCACCCTTCTCTCGGCGTTTCCAAAATAAATAAATAAATAAATCTGCACGCAAAGCAAGAAGATTTCTGCATTTGATTCGGCCCGAATTTTCAACTGATGCTGTCCGGAACACCACAAACTCGGACGATGTAGTCGAACAGACCTGAGGCCGTTTTGCAGGCGACAATGGACAAGTTCCGGAGGTGAAAAAAGAGCTCTCTCGGCTGACCACAGGAGTCGCACCCAGGGCCGAAAAGGTTTGCATTTGCAGTAGCAGACGATGATGGTGTTTTCATTTGATGATTTTGGGCAGATGGACAGGCACCCTGAGATGGTTTTGCGGACGCAGGCCCGGCTGGATGGCAAGTGGCTCAAGGCCGACCTGCAGTCGTGTCTGCAGGATAACGCCCTGCCCATGCTGTGGAATGAGATGCTCAAGGACGGCGAACTGTCGGCTACGTCCAGCGATTGCCTCATCAACTCAGTCGGCGCCAATTCAAGAAAGGGTAATTGAGATTTATTGGAAAAATTCCATAAATACACAATTCGTTTTTTGTAAATACAAAAAAAATTGATAAAATTAGACAAATTAATCAAAGAAACATAAAAAAATATTTCCAAATTTAATTAATTAAGTTAAATTCAAGAGGTTTTTCTTAACAAAGCTTATTTTTATCAATATACTTTTATGTTGCCTTGAGAAAAAGCAACTTTCATAATTATTATTTGCTGATTAAACAGATTTCCTTTAGAAGATGGACAATATTTTTTTCCATTTCTTTCTCCCTGGGGTCATGGTCCATTCTAGCCTAGCAACATTATATTTATTTATCATAATTGCTTAATTAAATCATTCTTCTTCAGGCGAGAGCGGCCACTACTACTGTGGCATGAAAGTTCTCTCTTGTGCCTGCTGCGACGGAATTTGCGGACCCCAACTGGGCTGCAACTGCTCGCCGTGCCAGAAATTGGACGAGGACGAAATGAGGAGGTTAAAATTGAACCCTGACGAGAAGCAGCCCTTGCCCTTCAAGCAGCAGATCAACAGCTGGACCTGGGGACCTCAGCCTAGTACTTTTTTCGAAATCATAAATTTGGAGGATTTTTCTAGCAATTTTGGTTTCAGACTCGAAACAACTGAAATCTTGCCTTGCGTCCCTCTTCAAGGAGCAGCGGGGCCTGGTGTCAATTGCAGCTGGCAGCACCTTGTCCGCAACAAGACTGAAACAGAGACTCATGGTCGCCCAACGCTACTTCACAGCGCTCAACAGACACCAGGGCCAGGTCGCGGGTCACTCTTTGCGAACAAATTCCAGTGGCAGCGGCAAGGAATTTGCCAAAATGTCAGTAAATTATTTTCTGCCTTTGCTCACAAATAATTATTTCATTCAGGACTGAGAAAGCAACTGTTGGACTAGCTAGGATAGGGTCAAGAGCCGCCTTACATTTATCCTTTGCATTTATGCGCCGAGCCTGGAGATCAGGTTGGTCTTTCAAATCTCACAAAAATTTGGTTCTAAATGTTTTGAAATTCAGGTGAAGATGCAGAACTGTGCACAGAACTTTTGCGAGAATCTCTAGAAGCATTACAAGATCTCCCTGAGGCCACTCTTTTTGAGGGACAGTCAATTTCTCCGGTCTGGCTGGAAGTTGTCGAAAGATCTGCAACTTTTCTCCGAGAGGTTGTTTCGGGGTAAGAGTTTTTTTTATATGCAGCATCAAGCATCAATATTGTAATATCAATTTGCAGTGATTTTGTTGGATCGGTGTCTCAAAACGACGAGAGACTCTCCCTGAGTTTGTTGCTCGAGTTGAGCGTCCAGCAGGGCACACTGGGACAAATGCTGAATTCCGTTCTGCTGTTGCTTCAGCTCGAATACAAAAACCAATCCTTGCCAGACAACAGGTAAAATGTTGGATATTTTGAATATCGTACAAAACATGAAATTTTCATTCCAGGTGTTCCGTTTCTAACGAAAACTGCGCGCCTTTGGTTCCGCTACTCAAGAGGCTGGCAAAAATTCCAACGTCTGCAGCTCAGGTGGAAGTAATGAGAGGCATGTTTGAGCCCCGTAATGCCACTGAAATTTACTTGGAGGATTTTGAAATGCCCGAAGACGAAAGTGAAAGCATTCCCTTAAGAGAAGCCTCGGTTGTGATAATGTCGCACATGGACCGACTTGCATTTCCCTACATTCCACCATCAAACTTGTCAAAGGTCAATCAATAATTGCTATTATTTTTGTTAAGTTAAAATTGTTAAAAATACAATTAAATGTAGGACAATTCACCAGAAATTTTCCTAAATCATTGTTTGAACATGAATTTTAAAAATAATTCCCAGATGCCTGGTGGGCTGAGACCATACCAAGAGGTGATGTGTCTTGGATCTCTCGAGTGGGCTGAATCGTCTCAGTGGTGCGAAGAACCCCACAACTGCAGCGCTCTTGAGGAAATCGGCGTCTCCCAAATGGCCTGCTCGGACCATTCCCTCTTGATCCTTAGCCTGTCTGGAAAAGTGTACCAAATGCTCTACGCCTCTCGAACAGAATGCCCTCGTCTGGTCGAAAGTCTTGCAGAGAAGGAAATTCTGCAGTTGGCGAGTCATCCGGACGCCAAGCATTTCATGGTCCTCACAACCAAAGGCGAGGTTTACTCTTGGGGCTGTGGTGACGGAGGAAGACTTGGGCACGGAGACACCTTTTCTTTAGAGGAACCAACCTTGATAGAAACACTTGCTGGTCATTTTGTGGTGTCGATAGCTGTCGGCAACACTTACAGGTCGGCTATATTTTTTGTGTAAATAAATGTCCGCTTAGTAAGAATAAACAAATTTAGTGCTGCTGTTACTTCATCTGGTGATTTGTACACATGGGGTAGAGGAAATTACGGCAGACTCGGTCACGGCAGTACTGATGATGTGACCAAACCAACTCTAGTTCCTGGGCTGAAAGGTCTCTTTATTTTATTTTTCATCATTGGTTTAAACAAAACCTGTTGAATTTCTGCAGGTCATCACATTATTCAAGTGGCTTGTGGAGGTGGTGACGCACAAACATTGGCTGTTAGTGACACTGGTTTAGTTTTTTCCTGGGGCGATGGAGACTATGGCAAATTAGGTAATTGAATCATCTTTTACTTCTTTTCTTTTTGTTCATAGATTTTATCTACAGGTCGAGGAAGAAATGAAGGTTCAAAAACGCCCAAACTGATTGACAGACTGCAGTCTGTGAATGTCGTTCAAGTTTTTTGCGGGGCTCAGTTCAGTATTGCTTTGACGACAACGGGTACACTCCATTCTTGGGGCAAGGGAGATGGTTACAGACTTGGTCATGGGTCTGAAGAACACGTCCGTTTTCCAAAGCAAATTCAAGGATTGGCAGGTAATTGTAATTTCTTAGATTTTACTGACTTATATTAAAACAAATTGTGTTAACAACAGGAAAGAAAATTGTTGCTGTGTCGGTTGGCTCGTCGCATGTTCTTGTGCGAACTGAGGAGGGAGAGGTCCTAGCCTGGGGCCAAAATGATCAAAATCAACTGAGCAGAGCCTCAACCCAACCTTTGAGTGAGCCTACAGTATTGCCATTCTTACAGAACAAAAACATCATCGGAATTGCCTGTGGGCCTACTCAGGTATATATTTTTTGGTTTATTTAAGGAAGTTTTTAATTTGAATTTTGTCTGCAGAGCTTTGTTTGGAGTAGTGCAAGCAAGTGGCGAATCCCTTTGAGAATTCCATTTGTGGTAGACGTGTCAGAAAACACATTTTGCCTTCTGGAGAAGCTCCTGTCCGAAGTGTGGGATGGACTGGACGGCTCCTCCGATTGGCCGCCTACCCAGGAAAATGAGTGCTTGGCAGTGTCATGCCTCAATCTGCTCCATCTTCAGTTCGTCACCATGATTTTCCACGGAATCCCAGAGGCGTCCGTCGGCCTCAGTCCTGGCTCTCGACTCCTTACCATGATCAAACAAAGGGTGGTCGCCCTGGCCAGTAACAAAGGCGTGGTCAAAACAGTCCAAAAAACTGCTCAGAGCTTGTTGGAAGCTGGATGGAGCATTTTGATTCCTACTGCTGATGAACGGGCGAGCACCCTGTCCAACTTATTGAGGAACAAGGGCGACGGCGACGGTCAGAAGTTCATGACCGACTTGCTTGTGAGCAGCTTGATGGCAGACGGTGGTTTGGAAGCGGCACTTGAAGCAGCAATTAGAGCTGAGATCACTTTTGCCCTAGAAACAAATATCGAGTTTCTTTCTGAATCGGCGCAAGAAACAAAAAGGGCCATCATCAACGAAGGGTCAATTCCCCTTCTGCATTTAATAAAACAACTTCTGAAAACAATGCTGGGTAGCACGTTGGCCAAATTAGCTAATTTGTCCAATTTCAAGCCAGTCGAAGAGGAAAAATCGCCCAGTCTAGACTTGCTAATCAGATTCCAGCGTTTGTTGATTTCTCGATTACTTCCCGGAACTTCAAGATCGTCAGTGCAAGGCGAGCAAGAATTGGTTGGCGCCGAATCTCTGCTGAAAAAGTACATCAAGTTGCTGCACGTCCACGCTTTGGAAGTGCTTGAAGTGGCCATCAAGAATGCGTCCATCAGCAAAAGGCACTTCAACGCTGTTTCCCACGTGATCAAATCGGACGCCATCAACACCCTGTTCCCCGAACTCATCCTCAGTCTCATTCTCTTAGAGACGCAAGCGCCTTCGAGCTCACTGCACCAAGTTGATTGGTTCTCACCCTTAAGGTCCCTTCTCGAGCCCTTAAACAAATTCAACCGACTCTCACCTTGGCACGAAAAAGAGGACGTCGAAGATTTGGCCTGGCCTGGAATCATCGTTCCGCCAAATTCGCCAGCCTCCAAGAAGAAAGGCGACGATTTGATGCTGATCAGAAAGGCGGATATTGAGAACCACAACCGAGATGGTGGACTGTGGATCATCATCAACAACAAGGTTTATGACGTGCAGGATTTTACTGCCCAAGCTCCGTGCGGAGAGGAGCTTTTGAAAAAATTCAGCGGATGCGACGCGAGCAAGGAGTTTGAAGACGCCTGTCACTCTGCTGCGGCCAAACAAAAAATGGCCAACTTCCTTGTTGGCAGCTACCTGGACCCTGACCAGCAAATCGTTCCCCTGAACGACCAAGTCGTAATCATGACCAGTTTGCTCGAAACCGAGCGAATGCTTGCTTTCCTCCTGGGCATTCACGCGCGCAGCCTCACTTGGGGGCCGCCACTGCAGCAGCCAGAAAAGGAAATTTCGCAGTGGTGCAACGCCGCCTTTCTGCAAGGAGGACTCCTGGACCTTCTGCCCGGCAATCCCTACGAAGAGGAAAAGGGTGATGCGAGGAGCACCACTTCCAACACACCAACCGGCTCCACCCCGACGAAAATTAAAACACCAATATCAGACTCTTCACAAATCGACAGAGGTCAAATGCTTTTACAGGTATGCAAGTTGCTTTAAATTAAATTTAATAATTATTTTATATTCACTCCTTTCTAGGGTCTGATTGATAATAAAATTAATGAGGAGCCTCTCATTGGAGCATTTTTGAACATACTGGAGCGTCACAACCGTACACCATCGTTACCTAGTGGCCTTGATCACCCTGTTGAGGAATGTGGCCGGTTTCTCTTGGCCGTCCTTCTCCGTCACCAAAGTCTAGAACAAATGGCCGCAACGGTGGCTCAGCTCGAATGTGACGGCTGCCCTTCAATTCGCATCCCACGACCTCTGCTTGAAAACATGTCCCAAGTGCAGAAAATGAAATTGAAACTGATCAAAGCCAGACAGATACAAAATCGATCGTACAAAGAAATCTGCCAGCCGGTCATCGAGCGGTGCAGATTTCTCTTTTACGAAGTTCGGCCGGCATTCAGTCCTGAGGTGACTGCCCTTCATTCATTGCAACTCATCCGCACAGAGTCTCGCTGGAAGAGGCTCAGCAGAGATTTGAAGAATCTCATTTTGCCGCCGTGCAAGCCTGAGGACATTCTCAATGCCAGCATCCAAAGTCAGGAAGCTTTGCTGGCTGCTGAGGAGGCACTGAATTCAAGACAGCCAGTGCCAGGCTGCTCGAGTCAGGAGGATGGTGAAATTCCTGAGAGGCGAGTTTCCAAGGAGGAGCATGAAAATACTAAAGAACTTGTTGTGCCCAACACTAAAATTGAGAAGGATCTTACCAACGAAGATCTGAGTGACGAAATGAAATTGCAGGAACAGGGAAACCGAAAGCAAAAAAGGAAATTCAAACCAAGGAGAAGTTCAGACCTATCAAGGTATAAAACAAATTTTCTGATTCTAAGAAAAAAAAATTAATTTTATAAATCTTTCAGATCTTTTACTTCAGACACTCCCTCTAAGGATTATTCCTCAATGGCCGCTTCCATTGTAAAGTTTGTAACCCAAGAAGATGTGGACGTTGACATTTTGAGGAAAGCTCTCTACAGCCAAGTTGAAAGGGCCAAGAGTCGCCAGAAAGGCCTGGAGCTTGGCCTAGCTCTTTTGACGCAGGATTGGCTTTTGCCGTCAGTTCGATACAGCCTGATAAACGCTTGGCTCGGACTGCCACTGGACATCAAACACCCTGGGGACATGTTCTCCAACTGCCTGTCAAACATAGAACTAGTCATGCCATACACTAAGGCGCAAGTGCTGCTTCAGCATGCCCAATTGATGCAGTGGGCGGCCAATTCTCTCAGGGAGAGGGTCATCTGGGCCGAGCCGATGGGGCGCAGCAGCCGAGGCCTCAGGGGCAAGGGCTGCCTGAACCGAGGCACTCAAGGTTGGCTCGGAAAATTGCCTTGGGCGAGGTATGCTAATTATTTAATAAATTTTTCATAGTTCGGCATAAACAAAATAAAATATTTAGATTTTTGCTGAGCACAATCTGCATGTTGACTGGAGACCACTTTGGCAACGAACTGAATTTACTAATCAACTCAGGGGTGCTGGCACTCCTGCAAACATTGCTTAGGCAAATCGGTGAGTGCATCAATATAGTTTCAGATCAAATAGAAAATTATTAAACTTTTGTTTCATGAATAGGACCAGAAATCAATTCTGGGCATGATGACAAATTTAGTGAAGTTCTAGCCATTTTTAAGGACAATGTGATCAAAACCCGTCCTCCCTGCATGCCCCTGAGCAATGCCGAGTTAGCTGCCATGCTCAAACCGGGCACCAGGGTAGTCAGAGGGATGCATTGGAAGTGGGGTGACCAGGTAAATAAACAAATTTTCCTTTTGCTCCTCACTTCATTAATTTTAATTTCTCAGGATGGACCTCCTCCTGGGGAAGGTCAGGTTGTTGGCGAGCTTGGTGAGGATGGATGGGTCAGAGTCCAGTGGGACAATGGAGCCACCAACTCATACAGGATGGGAAAGGAGGGCAAATACGATCTGAAACTTGCAGAACCACCTCATATATCCGAGTCTGAAGCGGAATCGGAATCTTCTTTAGACGACGTGGCGTCTCCGGTTCAAGTGATATCCAGCAGCAAAGTCTATCCTCACCCCACACTGCTGCTGCGGCACGCAAGTGTGTCACTTTTGAGAAACTTGTCTATCTGCTGTGGTATTCAAGCTGACGAAATGCAGCCGTCGTGTATTCGGATATTCACGTCGTTGCTCAGAGAACTTGTCAAAGTATTTTTAAACATCAATTTTAGTCAAAAATTTTAATTCGCCTCTTTTCAGTCTGGAAATGAATCTTTAGAAGACTTGCAGAGATCTGAAATCAAAGTGATTGCCAAAGTTCATCATTCAGAGTGGGCAACGCTTGGATTCATCAGAGCTTTGTGCAGCTCAAGGAATATGACTAAAGCACTGAGCACCCCAATTTGGGTTGCCATGCTAATGTCAATAGTTCAGGACCAAGAAACGCCAAATTTGTCAAAACAAGTGATTATTTATTGAAATTTATCTTGCAGCACGTAATAACAATTTTGTTTTTTTTAAACAGATTTTGGCTCTGCGGCTTTTAAAAACAGTGCTGACAGAATTCAAGGACAAGAATCCTTCAGAGAGTGCCGATTTTTTAAAGAAAATGTCACATCTTTTGGGAGAATGTTTAATTATGTGCTCCAAAGACCCAACTTTGAATTCATCAGGTTAGATTATTAAATTAAAAAAATAATCATCCGACTTAAAATAAACCTTCAGTGGCAGGTCGAGTGTGCCTCACCGCGTCCTACACAAGCACTGTTGCCGAAGAGTGCATTTTACTCATGAGGAGTCTTCACGCAATACCGAGTTGGACTCGAGACATCAACAACTACTTGACAGAAGGAATCAATGCCTCTTCCAATCTTCTCATTCACACAGGAATGCTGGTAATGAAATCGGGAAGTTAATCATAACAGCTTCTTTAAATGTGAAAATTTCAGAGCCCTCTTGGAACAGGAGACAATGGCACAAAGCATGCCGCCTCTGTTTCTGCTCTCAGCATAATCGGCGGTATAGACTCCAGACCCCGTCTTGGAGGAACTATTCAAATTGAGGGTGGTCTCGGCACAATTTTCAACATCAACAAAGGCAAACTGAACGTCCAGCTGCACGATGCGTCAGGAATGAGGCAGAAAATACCTCTGATGAACATCCAATCCAATCATATTCTGAAATTCCATCTCGAGAAATATGAAATGAACGATTTTAACACTGAGGCGTGGGCCACGCTCTTGTCTTATTCCTTGCAAGATTACAAGACGGAATCTGAATCTGGTATTTAAAAATTTGTTTATTGTTTACCGTTTTTTGAAATTTGAAATCAGGTCACATTCGAGCCCATCTACTTCAAGAGCAGCAAGTTCGAATGCATTCCCTCATAGCATTTCGGCAACTTTGCCGAAGCCAGGCCTACCTTAGAAACATTCTGCGCCGTCCTGCTTTACATTGGCTCACACCCACTGAGAAAGACGAGCCCAACGAGCCGTCCAGTCCAGTTGCTCAAGAACAGGGTCTTTTGATCCAAAGACTTTTAGCCAAAGCGACTCAGCCGGCCTTGATCAAATCTTGCTACTCTAAAGAGGAACTTGAGGTTTGTTGATTTATTAAAAACTCTAAATTTATTAAAAAAAAAAAAAAATTCATTTTGCAGTCGGCGGCTTTGAATCTGTTACAAATTCTGTCCTTCGAACTGCACTCCAGTGAGGCGCCGTGCGTGGCAGGTGCACATTTGTATCCGCCAACGCCCACAGCAAGTGAGGTTCAAACCCCCGTTAGTGAGCCGTCGTTCCCCATCCCAAGTCACGTCAAGAAAAATCCAACCCCCCTTGTATCTCAGCTCATGGACATGGGTTTTGCTAGGAAGCAAGTAGAATACGCTATCAGAATGCTTGGTATTGAATATAAATAGACTTGCAAAAGTTATATTATATTTTATGTTGCTTAGAAACCGTAAGTGACGTTGAGCCGAGTCCTGAGAAAATTGTAGGCTGGATTCTGCAGCATCAAGATGATTTGATTTCTGATACTGATTCTCCTACATCCTCAATTGAAGGAGTTTTATCTGCCACTGACTCGGCATCAGAAGAGCCAGACGGTGCCTGGGGTGGTCCCTCCCAATCTCTCTCAAAAGTAACACATTTTATATTTAATGTGATCGATTTCTGATTGAATGTTTTCTTAAATCTAGCAACCAGAGAAACCAAAAGTCAATTTATTCAGAAAAAGAGCTGACTACGCTTCCAAGCAGCAATATGCTTTGTATGTTCAGAGATTTGTCACTCCGGGAATTTATGTCAAATGCTGCCGGCCAACGGACGCCATCATGGTGGGCAGTGTGGGAAAAGTCTTGGGAATGGAGTTTGGCAGATCTAATGATTTGACTCTGGAGGTACTTCTTTATAACTGACTTTAGTTTGCAAGTAGTTTATTTTTCAATTTCAGGTGGAGTGGCAAGACGAGGGAATGGTTCATTGGATAAATGTCGTGAATGTGGACTTGATGGGCTTTTCGCCGAATAACGCTGAAGGCCCTCTCCAAATTGGAGACAAAGTGAGGCTGAGGCCAACAGTTGCTACCCCTCTGTACGGTTGGGGCTTCATTTCTCGCAGCTGCGTCGGGGTCCTTCACCGTGAGCCATATTTATTTTTCACTAAATATATAGATTAAAAATAATTCTTTAATCCAGGAATAAATCGAACAATTGGCCAGCCCCACTTTGCCAAAGTTGAGTTCCCGCAACAAAGCAACTGGACGGGCCAGTTGAGTGAGCTGGAGGTTGTCTGCAACCGGCACACTGGCATCGAGTGCTCCGGCTGCGGAGTGAACCCAATAATTGGCACCCGTTTTAAATGCAAAACCTGTATTAGTTTTAACTATTGTGAAGAGTGTTTCTGCACGCTACGAGTTCACAGACATTACTTCAACAGTATTGCTGAGGAGGGTAATTTTTATTTTCAAGATTTAAACAATTTTTTTATAATTTTTTTTTTTCATTTGAAAGGTGGAGCTTCGATATTTGTCGGTCGAGCAGGCAGACGAAGAAAAATGTCCCTCCCAGGTTCACCTGGTTCTCTAATTTTGGATTTCAATCATTGCGTCAAGCGTCTTTCTGTTTCCTCAAAAGTGAGCTGGATGGCTCTTGGCATTCCAGAGCCATGTCCAAATTATTGGCAGAGCCAGTCTGTTCAGAAGAAGGTAATTTTATTTTCATGTCATTTTCAAAAGTGAATAATTTGTTCAAATTTTATCCCAGCATTGGATTCGGCTCGAAATGCACCCTCAGGTGGGGATTCAAAGTCTTAGGATTGTCGTCGACCCTGAAGATGGAAAGTTCATGCCATCTCTTGTAGTTGTCAGTGTTGGAGAGAGTTTTGACAATATGAAAGAAGTTTCAACGGTCAAAGTCAGAAACACAGACACTGTTGTCAAACTGCTTTCGGACTTGAAAGAGGTAACTTAAATTTATTTAAGACATTCTCCTTAATGAATTTTTTTTTCTTAAGTTCCACGAGTGCATTGAAATAGCAATAAAAGAATGCAGAGCGGGCAACAGCAACGGCCGCGTACATGGTTTGCACATAATTGGAAAGCGAATAGGTCAAGATGATCACATTGACACAGCCTGGTCATACTTAAACTCGGACACTGAAGAACAAGAGGTAAAGTATTAAATAAATTATATTTTAGAGAGAGAAACTGATTTAACATCAAATTTTATTTATCAGGAGGTTGTGTCCTACCCTCAAGTTTCTAACTTGATGCGCTCGGATGATCATTTGAAAGTATTTGTTTGGGGCCTCAATGACAAGGACCAACTAGGCAACATAAGAGGCTCCAAGATCAAAATGCCAGTCACCTCGGAACACCTGAGTTTGCTTAAGCCAACCTGCATTGCTGGTGGTTCAAAGTCCCTGTTCATTGTTTCAAATGAGGGAAAGGTAAGGAATCAGAAATAAAAATGAAACTAATTTAGAATGCAAAAATCAGCTTTACGCCTGCGGAGAGGGAGCAAACGGCCGCTTAGGTCTCGGGCACAACAACAATGTTTCCGTTCCTCGACAAATGATGGCCCTCTCTTTTTACGTTGTGAAGAAAGTGGCTGTTCATTCGGGAGGAAAACACGCTATGGCCCTAACCCTGGATGGAAAAGTAAGTCCTTCACTTGGGCGCAAATAATCTTTATATGAATTCAAAAATTTAGGTTTTCTCGTGGGGTGAGGGTGAAGACGGAAAGTTGGGCCATGGAAATAGGCTTTCCTACGACAAACCTAAAATGATTGAAGTTCTGCGGTCAAAAAGGATCAGAGACATTGCTTGCGGCAGCTCTCACAGTGCAGCCATAACTTCAAATGGTGAACTCTACACTTGGGGCTCTGGCGAGTACGGCAGACTAGGCCATGGCGATTTTGAAACTCAGCTCCGTCCCAAACAGGTTAGGAATAAAATTAGATTAACATTATTTATTTTCTAACTGTAAAATCAATTTTATAGGTGAAAGCTTTGGCTGGCAAAATAGTTGTGCAAGTGGCTTGTGGGAGCAGAGATGCGCAAACTTTGGCATTGACTGACTCGGGAATGGTGTACTCGTGGGGTGATGGCGACTTTGGAAAGCTGGGCAGAGGCGGAAGTGAAGGGTGCAGTTTGCCTCAAAACATTGAACGTCTCAATGGCTGCAATGTGAACCAAATAGAGTGCGGTGCCCAATTCTCCGTTGCATTGACAAAATCGGGACAGGTAAAATTTTTGTACAAAATTTATAAGTATTTAAAATGTGTAATTTAGGTTTGGACTTGGGGCAAGGGAGATTATTACAGACTCGGGCATGGAAATGACCAGCACATTCGAAAACCAGCCATCGTCGAAGGGCTGCGAGCAAAAAAGGTCATTCATGTGGCAGTGGGTGCCCTGCACTGTCTAGCTGTCACAGATCAAGGACAAGTAAAATGATTTTAAATAATTATTCAATTACGTACTGAAATGTAAAAACTAGGTTTTTGCGTGGGGAGACAATGATCACGGCCAGCAAGGCAACAACACAACCATCGTCAATAGAAAACCTGTCTTGGTTCAAGGTTTAGAAGGTCACAGGATTAATCGAGTTGCCTGCGGCTCTTCGCATTCCGTGGCCTGGTATGTTCCTGATCCGAGGGTGTCAAAACAGCATGAGCCTGTCACATTTCTGAGTGAAAAAGATCCTCTTGGAGCAACTGCACTAGGTGATGACTTCCATTTACCTTTTTTTTTAGAACTTGCTGATTTTTTTTCCATTTTTAGGAGCTGATGAAGTTGTTCCTCCAAGCCAGCCAAATACTGAAGCAACTACGTCCTTGTGTAAGAAAGCTGCTTCCAATCTTCCGCAATCGAGCCACAACTCTCTCATCAACGTCGTCCTGAACCTCGACAATTCCGGAGCAAAACAACAAGCCCTCGAGCACATTCTGCAAACTTTGCAGGTCATGTTTGCCAGAGAGGCTGTTGTTGTTGCTCTTCGTGGACATGCAATGCTAGGTTAAAATTTGATTCTAAACGCCTAATTCATCTCTAATTTTTAATTCTTCAGACAGCAAAAATGGACGCATTATTCTGAGTGACCAGCTGCAGTCGAATTCCTCCGAGGGAAACACCCCCCTCGATCCGGCCGCACAACCACCCCCCACACAAGACCCACCTCTGGAAATTGCCCAAGGTGGCGGAGAAGCTTTGGCAGACAATGGAGGCACCATGACCCCGCACACAGACAGTGAACTCGAGAGTCCCACTGAAAGCCATTTTCCTGCCATGACCAGCTCAGGAAGTCTTTCGTCGAGAGCGTCGAAAATGTCGGCCAGCGCCATGAGCGTGATTGCGGCCACCATGACCACAAATGTTCAAGTAATAGTATCAAATCACTTAAATAAAAGTGTTTAATATTCTATGTATCACTAGCTGGTTGGCTTACCGACTGACCAAGATCAAAATCAAGTAGCCTTGGACGATTTTACTGCAATTCTGAGTGAGGAGGATGCAAGGAGTTTAGTCGATTTGCTAAAATTGGCTGTGGCAGGACGAGCAGGCCCTTGTGCTCAGGAAACAATTTCTTCGGTTCTGAGAGGTTTTTATTCAGAAATATTGGTTGTTAAAAAAATAACATATCTTTGTCAAGCTATGGGAAAAACATACTCAAGTATTGCTGACATGCTGCTTGAGCTCTCAGTCACCGAACTGGAAGACATTGCGATGTGCACTGATTTCATCAAAAGAAGCGACCCAAAGCCTATTGTTCAAGAATCAAGCCATCCATACACTGACGACGTCAACCTATTTGGCCATGTCAAAATTCAAGGTAAAGAAACTTTTTATATTTCACTCAGATTTTAACTTTTAATGTAGGCGCTGAGTTCCTGCGACTTGAATTTGACCGGCGCTGCTCGACTGAAAAGAGACACGATCCTCTAACAATCATGGATTCATCTGGAAGGACAATCAGTGTTCGTTCTGGACGAGAGTGGAGCGACTGGTCTGCAGAGCTGAGAGTGTCAGGTATATTTTGATTATTTTTTTGTTTACCATTTATGTCAATATTTCCTTGCAGGGGATGAGCTGATGTGGAAGTTCTACAGTGATGGATCTGTGAATGGCTGGGGTTGGAGATTCACAGTGTACCCAATAATGCCCAAATCAACAGCCATCGAGCTTCTCTCTGATAGGGCAATTTTGTCGAAACCATCAGTCGAGCCTGTTCGTTGCATTCTAAGCCAGAGGGTTGGATGTTACGCTGAAAAGAAACTGGTTTCAAGACTTGCCTCGGCACTGGCAGCTTGCGCAGAATTAAGCTCTCTTGGTAGGTTTTTGGTTATAAAATTTTTATTTATTTTTTAAATTTGAATTTTTAGGCACTTCACAAAGAATGTGGGCGCTTCAGTGTTTGCATTCATTGATTACGGCAACAGGGGTGCCACCGAGTGGAATAAATCCCGGGCAGCAAGTGGACCCTGCTTTTGTTTTCCTGGTTCAAAGCTTCCCAGCTGCTATTTTGATGCAATTCGAGTACGAAGACCCGATTATCAAGACTGGCAAACACCTCACTCATAGCGCCTTCTTCAAGGTAAGAAAGATCAATTGTTTATCTAAAATAAGAGATATATTTTTATAAAATTTCACAGGTGATGTTGGGACTTGCCTGTGCTGTGAATTTGGACAGACTCCCGTGCTGCCGAGAATATCGTTGGCAGTGGTTTGGTAGGTACTGCCTTGCAGCCAGGGTGTCTAGTGCCCTCATCGGAAGGTATCAGCTGCCTCAGTCATTCAGGGAGGAGGTGCAAAAGAAAATCAAGGAAATCAGTGGCGAAGCAGATGAAATCAACCTTGACTACGAAAAACCTGAAATTTTCTCACAAGCAGCTGACGAACAACTGCTCAAGTGGCTCAACAGGTACTAAATTTTAACATTATTTTGTTTAATCGGAATTTAACAATTTATTGTATTCAGAAAACCAGACGAGTGGACTTTGTCGTGGAACTCGAGTGGAATCATTTACGGCTGGGGCCACAATCACAGAGGACAGCTAGGTGGTGTGGAGGGAGCAAAGGTCAAGCTGCCATCTGTCTGTGAAAGCCTCTCCTCCCTGAACCCTATTCAAATCTCTGGTGGAGAGCAGACTTTGTTTGCTGTAACAGCCGAAGGACATGTTTATGCAACTGGTAATACTAATAAAAAAAGAAAATTCCGCATTATATTTCATCGCCAATATTTTTGAAAGGCTACGGTGCTGGTGGTCGACTTGGCACTGGAAGTACAGACAGCGTCACTGCTCCTGTATTGATTGAATCGCTTCAGCATATTTGTATTAAAAAGGTAAGATTTCAAAGTATTTTAAGTTTAAATAAATCTTATTATGAAATTAGGTGGCTGTCAACTCTGGAGGAAAACATTGTTTGGCCCTAACTGATAATGGAGAGGTGTATTCTTGGGGAGAAGGAGACGACGGAAAGCTGGGGCACGGAAACAAAAAGTTAGAGTTCAAATCAAGTAATTAAAAATTAAATTTTATTTTCTGTTCAGTACTAGTGAGCGGCCGAAACTTATCGAAAGCCTACTAGGAAAGGAAGTGGTCAATATAGCTTGTGGTGGAGCCCACAGTGCAGCCATAACTTCCTCAGGAGAAATTTATACCTGGGGCAAAGGAAGATACGGAAGATTAGGCCATGGTGATTCTGAAGATCAACTTAGACCAAAGAAAGTGAAAGCACTGGAGGTGAGTTTATTCAAGTAATTATTAAAAATAAATCAACAATAATTTTTTCAGGGCCTTAATGTCCTTGACGTTGCTTGCGGAAGTGGCGATGCTCAAACCCTGTGCATCACTGACGATGACAACGTCTGGTCATGGGGCGACGGTGACTACGGCAAACTGGGCCGAGGAGGCAGCGACGGATGCAAAGTGCCTATGAAAATCGAATCCCTGGCAGGACTGGGCGTAATCAAGGTGGAGTGCGGTTCGCAGTTTTCAGTGGCCCTGACCAGGTCAGGCAGTGTTTACACCTGGGGCAAGGGTGACTATCACAGACTTGGGCACGGCACCGACGATCATGTGCGGCGGCCCAGAAAGGTGGCTGCCCTGCAGGGGAAGAAGGTCATCAGTATCGCCACAGGTGAAATAATTAACAAATTTTAATATTTAAAATTTATTGATAAAAAATTTTAGGTTCTCTGCACTGTGTGGCGTGTACAGATCAGGGTCAGGTATTCACCTGGGGAGACAATGACGAAGGTCAGCTCGGGGACGGTTCCACGACTGCCATTCAGAGACCTCGACAGGTCATCGCTCTGCAGGGGAAGAACATTAACAGGGTTGCTTGTGGTTCGGCCCACACGGTGGCCTGGAGCACAAGCAAGGCCGTGTCCTCTGGGAAAATTCCGGCCGTCGTTCCGATGGAGTACGATCTGATAAAAGATGTGCCCATGGTCACTCTGCGCAACAGATTGATGCTTCTGCACCACTTCTCGGAGCTAATTTGTCCTCTGGTCGCCATGTTTCCTTTGGGCGAGCTGCCGATCAACTCGCAAGCATCACGACTGGACCAACTTAGAGGAGTTTTGGTTTACTCAGCCAAGGAGGCAACCTTTAGAAAGGTCAGATTTAAAATAATGAACAATTTCAATTTGTTATATAATAAATTTATAAGGTTGTCCAAGCAACAATGGTGAGGGACAAGCAACATGGGCCTGTTATCGAGCTGAACAGAATTCAAGTAAAACGGGCGAGAGGAAAATTCGGGCTGGCTGGACCCGACGGAACAAAGTCTGTCTTTGGACAACTTGTTGCCAGGATGAGTTTGCTCACTCAAGAGTCACTATTTTTACCACACAGAGTTTGGAAGGTCAAGTTTGTAGGTTCGTAAAAACTACTCTAATATTTGGAGTTGGAAATATTGATGCAATTTCATGGCAATCTTTAGGAGAAAGTGTGGATGATTGCGGCGGTGGTTATTCTGAGAGCATTGCAGAAATGTGTGACGAGTTGCAAAACGGTTCTCTGCCTCTTCTCATTTGCACTCCGAATGGACGAGAGGAAAATGGCACCAACAGGGACTGCTTCATCCTTAATCCTGCTGCCAGAAGTACTTTGCACCTTCAAATGTTCAACTTTCTGGGTAAATTATAAATAAATATCAATTTGAAAAGATTAATTTTAACATTATTCAAAGGTGTTCTCATGGGGATTGCCGTACGAACGGGAAGTCCTTTGAGCTTGGTCTTGGCTGAACCGGTTTGGAAGCAACTGGCAGGACAAGAGTTGACACCAGCCGATTTAACAGAACTGGATCGAGATTATGTTCCAGGTAAGTTTTTTACAATTCTCTTTGTTTAAATGAGTTGAAACAAAAATTATTTAAAGGCCTAATGTGTATTCGGGACATGGAGGACAAGGCCTTGCAGGCGCTGGACATGCCTTTCTCCACAGCCAGCACCACAGGAGAAGAAATTTTGCTCTCGTCAATTTACAGAAAAATCAACACAGAAAACAGACAAGAATACGTCAGGCTTGCCCTGAACTACAGGTTTCTTTAAAATAATATTGAACAAAATTTTTAATTTTTACATAAATATTCAATTTTAGACTTCACGAATTTGATCAACAAGTTCGAGCTGTGCGCCAAGGAATGGCTAGAGTGATACCAGTGCCGTTGTTGACCCTTTTCAGTGGCTACGAACTGGAAACCATGGTTTGTGGCTCACCCGACATTCCGTTGCCTCTGCTTAAATCCGTCGCAACTTATAAAGGTTCATTTTCAAAAAGAAAATGAAGATGAAGATCAATCTATAATTTTTATTTCAGGAATAGATGCGAGTGCTCCGTTAATTGCATGGTTTTGGGAGGTCTTGGAGGAGTTCACAAATGAGGAGAGGTCTCTGTTCCTGCGCTTTGTGTGGGGGAGGACCCGACTGCCCAGGACCATTGCTGATTTCAGAGGGAGAGACTTTGTCATTCAAGTAACACTTTGGTCATTTTATTATAAATACCAATTTTCATTTTTTCATTCTTTTCAAAGGTTTTGGACAAATTCAACCCTCCTGACCATTACATGCCTGAAAGCTACACCTGCTTCTTTTTGCTTAAGCTGCCTAGATGATATTCTTGCAAGGTAAATGAATTTTTTTTTTTCAAAATTTAGGTAGATTGATCTATTCTGCATTTATTTCAGATGGTATTGAAAGAAAAACTGAAGTACGCCATCCACTTCTGCAAGTCGATTGATACAGATGAGTATGCCAGGGTCGCAATGACAGGCAGCTTAACTGAGGAGGAAGGCGCGGCTGTGCTGCCGGAAGACTTTGTCGGCGGCCACGGTGACGGCCTGAGCAGCGACAGTGATCAGGTGGAGAGTTTCGAAAGTGATCTTGGAATTGAACCTGCTTCGAGCAATTAACTAGTCCGTTTAATTTTATCAAGACGAAATGTTGATATTTATTTTTCACTATTGATTCTGCAATCTCATATATATTTATCCTAATACGGCCGCACCAAAATCACTGATCATATAGAGAGAGATTATGATGTATGTTTGGCCTCGGATAATTTTTCGCTTCTCACACAAGCAACCACAGACATCTCTTTTAATTATTGCCAATGTTTTACAAAGAAAACTTAATATTTGTAAGCCGACTTAAAATAAAATAACAATTTAAACTACAAATTGTGTTTCTTAATCTGGTCAAATATTTTGACAAATTTTCAGAAGTTTTTACTCACAAAATTTATTTATAAAGGTAATTTTCATAATTAGGCTATCCATTATAATGAAATGCTGATAAAAAATTATAAGTTTATGCAACCTGCACGCTACGTTTGTGTTGCTAGTTGCATACTCTGAAAATTTCAGGGGCTCAATTTCCCCCCCGTTGAATATTTATTAAAAAAAGGGCGGTTTAATTGTTTTTAAAATATGAAATAACATTTTCTTACACCAATTACCGTTTATTTAAATACTTTTCTGCAAATTATTTCAAATTTATATTTTGTTTGCCTACTTTTTAATAAACGCTTTCGCAGGCGAGATAATTGCTGCTAACTGACCATGCTCTTGTTGGTGGTAGAATTACGCCTCGGAAGTGCATTTGGATCACGAAAAGTAGAGGATTTGTATCGTTCGAAAACGGAGCAGCAAACGTCGGGTCAAATGTTGTGTTTGAAAAGCACCACCTTGGCGAACCGAGTTTGGCGAGTCTGGAAGCGGCCACCATGTAATAGAGGTTGATCTGCCCGAATGTGTTCTCTTGAGTGTAAAATCTCATTAAATAGAAGAAGACAAGATATATTTTTATGGACTTACCCACTCCTGCCGTTCTCATGCAGCTCAATTTAGCCGGAGTTTCGACAGTGGCAAGACGCAGACCGTACTGACAACACTTGGCGAAAGCTTGAGCGTGCGTCAAAGCAGCCACCGAATACATGAATAAAAATTTCTTCCCGCAAGCAGTGCTCTTTTGGTAGATTTCGACGTTTGGGTAATTAAATCCCCCGCTTGCTAAAAATATAATTATTCATAAAAAGTCTTATAAATTTTTTTATTTGCTAATACGAGGAAGGGCGTCGAAGGTTATTTTCTTCTCTTCCTATAAACAATTTATTCTTATTTTAATTCTTATAAATTTAATCTTTAGTCACGTCAATGAAGCAACCGAAATCAGGGCAAACAGCGTCGGTCACTACCTCACGCATGAACGGAGGCGGCTGAAATGTTATGTGTTTTCAAATTTAATTACCTTATTTTATTTAAAAATTTTTCACACCGCAAGGGTGAGTTCTAAAGCTTCAATCAAACTGTTGACGATGTCAGGTGAATTCTGCTGGCCGCACAGAGCCATGGCCGAAATCTTGTCACACACGTCCATTCCCCCTGTTTATTTTCATTTTAAATTCACAAAAATTGGAAAAATTTCCTTTTTACTTGTTAAGTTTGAGCAATAATCTAGGGTCGAGTAAGCGTCCATGAGACGATTCACGTCATTGCCGGCGATCGCACCGAATTGGGCGATGATTTTTTCCAGCATGATGATGTCATTAATGTACTAATTTAAACTTAAAAAATGAACTTCAAATATATAAAAATTTCAAACCAATTCAGTTCCTTCTCCAAAACACTTTAGGAAACATTTTTCCGGTGGCGTGTATGAAGTCGCGTTTTGCATTTTATCAATTTGTTCTATTTTATTAAATTTAAAATTTTTATGATTCATTTTGATTGATTTTTAAACCTTTAATCAAGCCGTACTCCAAGGCACACTCTTCCTCAACAGATTTCATTCCAGTCGACGGAGGTCTCCCCTGTTTTAAATTAATGAATGAAAAAAAAAACAATGTTATTTAATAATAAAAAAAAACCTCGCAAATGACTCTAAATTTCTTGTCGCAGTTTTCGTCTCTCAACAAAGCAATGCCACCGTTGATCTCGAGAGCGAGGCAGTTTTCACTATTGTTGGCGTTATCCGGTTGATTAACCGCCCACCTTTGTCGAGGTTTATTTTTATATTGTCGATTTGAAAAAATGTCGAAAGAAATTTCGCACCTCGCCTCTCCGCGTACAAGTCGGTTGGTGGTGCAGAAGCCAAAGAAATCTTCGCAACCCATGTCCGTGCCAGACGTCCAGAATAAGCCACTTGCGATTGCGGAATTACTTGTTGCTAGAAATTTGTACAGTTTTCATTCTTCTATTAGTATTACTTTTAAAATATTCAGTACAAAAAATTATATAAAGAAATGATAAAAAAAAATCATAAAAAGCTGCGAAATTCTTCTTTGAAAATAAAATAATCCTTTTACTGTTAATGATATTGACTGAAAAATGACTCTAAAAGTTTTTTTTTACACTAATTGCTTAGAAACGACTCCACCAAGGACGTGTGTTTTTTAATAAAAATTTGAGCCTATAAAGTCACCTTTTTGGACTTTTTCAGATTTATTTTTCCCCAGTCTGCGAATAATCAAAAATATCTAACCATTGAAAGCCTTGGCGACGGCGTCAAACATGAAATCTTTGTGCATGCTGACCAACGATAGTCCGAATTCACAGCAATAAGAAATCGCGTCGTTGAACTGAAATGAATTATCCGAATTATCAGTATATGAATTTTACTTATTTTACATATATTTTCATCAGTTTAAAGTGATTTTAGCAGTTAAATTTTGTTTTCATTAAAACTTTTTACCGATCTTGTAAATATAGGCTTCGGAAATAAGAAAAGCCTGTTGGAAACTTCTACGGTAGTTCCATATGATGACACATCTGAAATTATTATGACTATAGTTACAGGTAAAAACGAATAATTTAGTACTATAGAGTGTTGAATAATCATCTGCCAGATATTTGAAATAAACTGACTACAAGAAACAAAATTATTTTCAAATTTATTGAATTATTTTGCTCATAGATTTTCACATACGTTTTTTACGCATGGAACAATCGGACAAGTAGGCGCTTCACAAGCTGGTTTTGGGGTCGTCGGTCCCTGTGAGGGAAAATATTTTTAAACAAATAAAATTTTATCAAAGGAAATTTTAATAGACTTGGCAAGCGAATGCACTTAAAAAAGTGCAGGTTTTGTCTTCGAGTAGGATTGAACTGTTTCCCTTGACGATTTGCATTTGCGCGCAGTTTCCACTTCCGTTGATGATGGTGTTTGGCGAGGAAAAGCCCCACATGTTGGTTGGAAAAGGCGCAGAGGTGTTTTTGCACCAAAGGAACGAGCCACCGATCTTCTTTCGGACGCCAGAGGTCCAGTAACGAGTGTTGTATTTCCAATTGTTGCCTGTTAAAAAAAAAGTCATCGAAGAAAATTTGATTTTTTTTTTGGTCAAACCATTAACGAAAGATTTCATGCAAGAAGCTTTTGCCGGAGAATCCAAAGTTATAGGCTCCATTCCTAATTTGCAGCACATGTCATAATTCTGCTGCCAATTTGCCTAAAAATATGATCAAAATTATTTGAAATTTCTCAAATTAAATTTAATTAAAACTGCTCTTCTCATATTCACGAGTTAATCTTGAATTCAAATTTCAATAATTAAATAATATATATTTTTGTTAATTGCAATCAAAATTCATGTTAAAAAATGCACATATAAAAAACAGCTTGTCATTGCCAGATATTAAAATCCAACAGATGCTCCAAATTTTTAGCTACTGACTAAGAATTTTCCAAACAGAAGTTGTTCTCCGCAAGCAGTTTCCCAAAAACCGTGCACGATAGGATCCTCCAAAGTTTTGTTATCCGCTTTAAAGAGAGTCAACTGCATTAAATTTTGCGCAATTACTAAAGAGTTTAAATTTCGTAAAAAAATGCACTAACATCTTTGGTGCACTTGAGCGGGCATGGCGGCAGGGACTGTATAAAAATTAGTTAAATTAACATACTTGAACAGAGTGAAAAAATCAGACTAGTGGCATTTTGGTCGTGGGCGGCTTTGGTTTTGTGAAATTAAGTGCCGGCGTCGCTTTGGTCGCGTTCCAAGCTGCAGTGGTCATTGTTGCGTATCGCAGACTCTTTGTGTAGGGGAATGACACTGTGGGGGTGGTGGTGGTGGTGGTTGCGTTGGTTTGACTGAAGACGGGAGCCAGGGTGGTGTTGATCAGTGGACTTGTGGCCGCAGAAAGAGCCAAAGTAGGTGCAGAAGTGGCCGAGGTTGTTTGGGGGGTGGACAAAGAAATGACATTTAAGGTCGGTGGATTTTGAGATGCGGAAGTTCCAGTCGAAATCGGTGGCAATATTGAAACGATAATCAAAGGCGGAGCTGTGGTGGCTGCTGTCGTTTGAGGGGTGGACGAAGAAATTGCATTTAATGTTGTTTGAATTTGAATTTGGGAAGTTCCAAGCGAAATCATCGTTGAGCTTATAAATGCTTGTGAAGTGATTTCAGAGTAAAATGCAGTTAAATTTTGGGCAGAAGTGGAAATTGCAGTTGGAAGACTCGAAATTAAGACGGATGACGTAATTGGGTCGGATAATTTTTGGGTCGTAGGTTCAGACGGGGGAGCAACAGGTGGGGTAGTTTCTGATTGCAATGTGGTTGTCGCTTCGGTTATTGCTTCTGTTGGCGCCTCATTTGGAATTGTCTAATTATTTTTAATTTAATAAAATTAAATAGAAAATTGAAGAGTTTATTTTTACTGCAGAATCCTCTGAAACGATGTATTCCGTGGAAATGATTTCTTGCAGCGTAGTTTGGGCGGAGGTTAGCTTTGAGTTGGTCGAGTTTATTTTTGCCCTGGTGGAAGTTTTGGTCTTTTTTTCCACATTGAAGCAAGATTGTTTGCCACAGCATCTGATTATCGTTTTCCTGCGCAAATCCGTTTGCCCTCTTGACCCTTTAAAAAGTTAAATATCGTAAAAAGTTTTAAATTTTTTCATGTAACAAAACCATTAGGCCTTTTTTCTTTGCTGGGCGACTTATTTTTGCATTGGACGACCCCAATCTGTGATTTTTAATTTGTCAATGTGAAAAAAATTAAGTATATAAGACAGTTTATACCAAAATGAAAGATATCAAAATGACAAGGACGCATGCCAAATATGCCTTCCTCATAGCAACCTAATAAAATTTCTATCAAAATATAATTCCAATACTTGCTCTCTGCACAGAATAAGACTCACGTCAGTGGAAAGCAAACGCCACTGAGCGTATGTTTTAAAAATTGCATTCTTTATCAGTCAGAAAATAATGATGGAAGAATTTTAATTGCTATGATGCATTTAATATGAAGTGCCGGAAACAGACTGAAAAGATTCTCTGAACCTTTCTAAATACTTTTAAGTACAATTCAACGCGTGCTTTTAAAGTGTGATTCACTTCCTGTGTTTGGTTTAGAATATTTTGATTAAATATTTTTCCCAAACTTTAAAGCTAACTTATATTAACCTCACACTACCTTCAATAATTAATGTTGCTTTTGTTCCAATTAATAATTTTCAATTATTAAATACAATAAAAATTCTAGATATTTTGAAATAGTTACATTTAATGATATTTTCAATTTTAATTCCTTTTTAAAAGTTTTGTGTATAGTAATGTATTATTAAATTTAGGAAAAATTTATAATTTTTATTCAACAAATAAATTATTTGTTTCATTTGCAGGTGTTTACAAAATGATGGACATTACTTAATTTTATGTTGGTCTTTTTTTGATTTTATTTGGTGATAAATTTTTACAGTCAAACAGTTTGACAAATACATAATGTATCCATGGCAGAGTTTCATTATTGCTAGCTGCGATCTATTACCTCACAATCAGCTTAAGAAATAACAATCATTACACATGAAATGAGTCTGAAATCTGCGCGAAAGTATGAAACTTTGGATAAATTTTAAAAATTTAACAGATCATTATATTCGCTTATTAATTCCAAATTATAAAATTATACTGACAATATATAATTTTATATTTATATTATTTTAAATTAGCATGCCAGTGCTAAAATTTTACAACGTTAAAACATGACATTAGTGATTTGAGTAAATTAACAGGCCAAAGTTATTATTATTACACCAATTTTCTCATAAAATAATCAATTCTACAGTTTCTAAAGGATCTAATTATTTAATATTTTCACACATTGATTTATCACCTAAAACCTTTTCAAATTTCAGATAAAATGTCTAGGGAGAATTTTGTGTGTATTTTTAAATATTTTAGTTAATAGAATGTTTGAGAGAGAAACATATTTCGTACATTTATTGTGCAACAGTTCTTGAGAGGCGTGGAAAAAGTGGATCTGTACAAAGTTTTTATTGCGAGAGATTCAAAGACACACAGCTCAAAATTTCCTCTCCACCGATTTGAACTATACAAGAGACCAGCAGAAATTGGTGAAAAATGTTGAGATTTTTGTTATTATCACACATCAATAAAATTATTTTACACTAATGAAAACAGAATCCTATTCAGTTGTCATAATTGAGATGAACCGGAGATCTGCTCAGCCTCAAATGGGCGACTCCTGCGACGTGTTCGTGGTGGTGTCGGCGCTCCTTTGTCGGGGTCACAGACAAACTGTGCAACTTTACAAATTTGTTAGTTTAAATTAAAAATTACTTTCAAAATTGTTACCGGAGACTGGAGGCCGTTCGGAGGCGGCGGGTGGGGTGGCAAGTCGAGTCCAGCGGGGACGTAAGTGTTGCTCGGGATGCACCTGGAGCACTGCCTCTTCAGGGCAGGTCGCTGACGTGACCCTCGGCACCGAAGGGCAAAGCACAGCTCGTCTGTCATCTCGGCGCACAAAGACTGATGCGGTGCTGTCACTGAGCGCTTCAAAATCATGAAAAATATATTTAAATCTGATTTGAGAAAACTATCTATTAGTTTATTATTTTCAGTAAATTAAGTAAAAATTTATTAAAAAATCAAGTACGTTTGGGACAAATTGCGATTTTTACAAATTATGGTATTTTTTCAGTTGTAAAAGGATGAAAAATTATAGGAATATTCTTTTATATAACTTTTTTGTCTCCTTTAGTATGAAAATAGATCATTTTTATTTCAGAAATTGAATGATTTTATGCTTGAAAAATAGCTGTAAAAAGTCTATTAGGTTTTTATTTTATTGAATGGGTGGTTCAAGTTGATTCTAGATTTTTAATTTAATAAAATATATTTTGCCTTTGATAAATCAATAAATTTGAGTTTAATTTTAAATAAAATAATGTTAAAAAAATTAACGCAACCCGCCAGACAACCGTGTGAAGCAGGTTGCATAATTTAAAAATGCATTCTTACATTTGTGTATTCCGAGTTTCTTTTGTTGTTCCAACAAAACTCGAAAATAGCGACAATCACTGCCAGCGCCAAGCCGCAGAGCAGCACCACAAAGACTCCACCTAAAATTTTCCAATTTTTAGAATCCATCACTTTTCTAAAATAAAACAAGAGCAAACAAAGAAAATATTCTATGGAAATATTTACTTGTCAAATTTTAAAATCAGGCTTTCAAAAGAAAATGTTTTTTGCAAAAATATGAAGAAATTGAAATTTTTAAAAGAGGAAAATTGCTTATTTTATTTACGAATTCTTTGTATCAAGTAGAAGTGAGTGCTGAATTGGCCTGCACGATGAGCTAGCGGGAGAGGGGAAATGATGAGTTGCGTGTTTGCATTGATTGGGAAGAGCAGAGCAAAAAAGAGACAAGCGCAAGGATGTAAAAAGAGCGAGGGAAATTGATTGACCGACCGATGTTTTGAACGCCGAGGGCGTTCGCCTTGCTCTCTTTGCCCTTGTCGTTGCGGGTGCAGGTGTCGCCGGGGTTTTTCCACCATTTATCATACAGCATTTGAATCTCGCCCTTTTCCTGTAGCTCCAGGATGGCGAGAGAGATTTTGTCACGCCACGGCGAACCTGCAAATTAATCGCGGTTGCACCACATGACAGATTTATACGTGGGGCGTTTAATGCGCCAAATCACATGATAAAGAAAATTTTCAAAATTTATTACGTATTTTATGTCATTAAAGAGATCAAATAAAGATGATCCAAAAGGAAAACATCTGAAATAACTTTAAAAAATTGCAATAATGATCTATGAAAACATTAATTAATTTAATTTTATTTGCAATTGTAATAATAATTTTTTGTGCGTACCCATTGGTGTTGCAATTCCGTAGCCCTTGGAGTCCAAAAGTCCTCCGATCTGGGTGAGGTTGCAGTCCCTCTGCACCGTGTAGTCCAGCATTGTGGACTCCATGAGAAAGGCGTAGTTGCCCTCGAGAACTCTTCGGATTCCTTCCTCGTAGGTCGGAACGAAAACCGACGGTTTCTTGTTTTCCATGAAGCGCCACATTTTTTTGTACGTCTCGATCATCGAGTCCTGCGTATAACTTATATGAATATTGCATAAATGAGACTTGGCTTGTTTACCCTGAAGAAGGTCATGGTCGACCCGCTGTCCAGGGTGCCGTACGAGATTTCCGTTTGCCCGGCGAGGTCTTCGGCGTTCTCGATCGGCGTGATCATCCTCTCGACGGTGAGGAAGGCGGCCAAGTTGGCCGTGTAAGACGAAATGATGATCAAAGTGAAGAACCACCAGATTCCACCCACGATTCTTGTGCTTGTCGCCTGATTTGTTACAGTAAAAATTACTTTTAATTCAAAATTTAAAAAAGGTAAATGAAATTGTTGATCAAGAAGAAATAAATAGCAAAAATAATATTGCCTATAATTTCTCTTAATTTTGTTATAATTTTTACAGAATTCTATCATTTTCTTGATAATTGATTGATTAAATTTATGCCTATTAACTCATATTTGAATATAAAATAAACTACTAATGAAAATTTATAAATTTTTAAAATAGTTTTTCCTAAAAATCTACAAAACTTCATGCGAGTAAATTTCACGGCTGAAATTTCACATATTTATACATTTGAATAAGAAGTTGAAAACACACTCTGGCATGCTTTTCCGTCTGTCTCGGGACTCTTGCACGAAATTACAGGGTTGGTGCGCACAATGCAAGGGTCCGTGTTCTTATTTCCCTTTGTGTCTACTTGTGTGTCTGATTTCACGCTTGGTAATCTCGAATGCGATTTATATAAAGCGGTCGAGCAACCAACCGACTAAACACCGAATTCCGTTCTACTACTGTCGAGGGAGAGAATAATGTCTGATTTTGTCTGTCTGTCTGTAGCATGAGTCGGCAGTCGACGAGCGGATTTCGAAATGGCAGCAACAAGTTGCTTATTTTTCTCCGCGCGCTCGCCGCCGGCCGACTTTTTGCTTTTGTCTGGCGCGCGAATCTCAACTGCAAGGTACTTTAAAGCACCCAAGGGTGTCAGAAAAATAAAAACAGAGAAAATCATTTCGAAAAATGGGAGGAAAAATTACATCTGCAGACTAGAAAGAGTGCATAAAAAACTTCAAATTATTGAAAAAGTTCAATTTTTACCTCAATGAAGGCTTTTTTTATATTATTTTTCCATATTGTTATTCAAAAATTTGAAATTGACAGGAAGATAAAAAGAATTTCAGCTCTACAATATTAAGAAAAAATAAGTAACATTGAAGAAGAATTTAATAGATATTTTAAATTTATCTGCTGTTAATATTATTATTTTTTTAAATAAATAAAGATATTTCAAACTTTACGCTAATTTGCAATCTACAATTAAACATTTAGATAAAAAACTAACAAAATATCTATTAAAAATTAAAACATGAAAGAATAAAAGTGCAACTAATTTTGTAATTTTAAAAACTTTTGGTTGCATTTATGAATTTTTTGTATAAAATCTCAAATAGTAATAATACAAGAAGAATCGCGTATGTTTTGGTGATAAGAGTGGAAAAGGGTTTGTGAGAAGCGCAAAAAATACTAAAGAGCAGAGCAAGCGAGAGAGACGGAGCAGCAGAACGTGTGGGAATAATTTTGAGTGGAAATGATGGATTAGGTACTTGGGTGCTTCTTATTCATTATAAAATTGCCTCAAAATAGCCAGTGACCTAATTTGTAAAAATTATTTTACCTCTAGAAGGAAATTTTAACTTTATTTTTGCCATAATTTTCAAACAATTTAAAAGTTATTCAAATTTTGAATTAAATTTATCTAAAAATAAAGTCGTCGCAAGAGTTATTTTTTTTTTTTTTTTTTTAAATTTAGAATTGTTAAAGGAAACAAGGTTTTGCATCCCTGTGTACCTTGGGGTTGAGGTCTGAGCCTTGTTGCATCAAGGTTCCGATGGTGAACCAGAACGAGTTGGGCATGGAAAATTGGTTCTCAACAACATCATTCTCGAGCTCGCAGGGGTGCGGATTGTGCCACTCGTAGGGCGAGAATCGTGCCACGACAAACATGGTTATCGAAACTAACACGTAGGCTGCCAACACGTACAGCCAAATGTCCACAGCCAAAGGGTTCATAAAGGAAAAGAGCCGAGTCGGCGGGCTTGTAGGCACCTGGTCGAAAACAGCCACAGAGAACAGACAATTTTTGAAAACAACAAACTCGCTTCCGTCAAAAAAACACCAAAATATTTTAAAATATAAACACTTTTTCGTGTTTTCAATCCCCAAGATCGTTCACAGAGGCAATGGAGGAATGTTGGGGTTTAAAAATAAATAAATGGAATCTCTGCAAAGGTTAAAAAAATGCACCGTTTTCTCTTTTTAGTTTCAATTCATAAAAGATTAAAAAATATTTTTCCAAAAATTTATTATCTTTTATTGCTATTGATAGATTTGAAAAGAATTGACTTAAATAATTCTTCACAAAATAAAAAGGAAATGAAAAATAAATATTTTGTCTATAAATTTTTAGTTAAAAAGTGGTGCATTTTTCTATACTCAAACATTTTTGATGGATTTAGAGGAAGTTTGATTGTGAGAAGAGACAGGAAGAGAATAGAAGAGAGGACAGCAGCATGCACAAGATTGGTTGACACACGAAACTGCAATAAAAGTACAACACAAGCACAACACAGAGTTTGATTGCTGCTGGGGTGGGGGCGGGGGATGAACCTTGGGGCTGATGCCTGAACCCTGCCGCAGGAGGGTGCCCGTGATGAACCAGACGCTGTTGGAAACCGTGAACTGGTTCACGAGCGGCGGGGCGCGTTTTTTCCACGGCTTCTTGTTGCACCACTCGTAAGGGGTGAGTCTGGCCAGCGCGTACAGGGTGAAGCTGGCCATGCCGAACGCGGCCATCACCACCAGCCAGATGTCCAGGCCCAGCGGGTTCATGAACGTGAAAAACGTCGACTCTTTGTCCGTCGGAACCTAAACTCATCCCCGTCAAAACAAGAACAAACCCACCCCAGAAAAGGAAAGACCAAACATGTACACATTTATTTAAGGGTCTGATAATAAAAATCAATCTTTTAAAGAAGGGAACTGTTGATTTTTTCTCTAAAAGTGAAAGTGATCCAAATTTCATGACCATTGTCGCAGCCGTGATAAAAAAATTTTGCCCCCTTTTAGGGAATCAAACCAAGTATCGTGAATTTTGATTTTGGGTATTTTAGCAGAATTTAGTGATTTTTGAATCAGAAATAACTGAGGTTCAAATTGATTTGGCGGGAAAATGTGAACCTCAAATTAGGAGCTTAGGGTTGCAAATTTTCCTATCGCAACTTAGACGCTGGTTATCTAATGAAGTCCATTTTCACAATCAAGAAACCAAAAATTTTGCTCGTGTCCATCTTTAATAAACTTTATTTAATCCGGAAATAGGGGACTTCAACTTTAAAATGCAACCTGCAGGACACGGACGCCATGCAGGTTGCCTATTTTCAAAATTTCAAGAGTTTCTTTTAATATTTGGCGATCTTTGACTCATTTTGACGAGGATTTTGCTGAAACCTTCACACACACAAAACAAACAAGCGGATTTCAGAACTTATTTTCTTACCTTGAAAAGTATACTGATTCCCAGATTCATGAACGGCTTGGTGAAATCAATGACGCTCTCGCGGGCGTAGTTGATCGTCATCGAGCCGACGGCGAGATCAGCTTTCTGCAAACGCGATAAAACACGATTGTCATTTCGCCATTTTCGGCACGAGGGCTCTCTAAAGAAAGCTAGATCGATACGGACGTCAATGCAATTATTATTTTGTCACTCGGAGGCTGATTTAGTGCTGAGAGGGCGGACACTACGGGAGCAATTTATACACACAATAGTTCTGAGCGTGGCACTAAGTTAAGCTGCCTCTAATGGCTTTAATGACAGCGGAAGGAGAGGCGGGAGACGACAAGAAGTTATATGTGTAGATGACTTACGGCCAGCACAATGTCATAATGTTTTGCTTCCAGATTAGAGTTATTAATTATTGTTGCGCGTGATTCACTCAAATAAATGATATGTAGGCTTTCATAAAAAAAATCCATCAAACTTACAAAATATTAAGAGAGATTTTAAAATTATTACTAATTTTTCAGCATGGAATTTTCATTTTCTTATTACATTTTGTTTTATTGTTCAAAAAAATTTATTAAAAAATCCAATGAAATGTGGAAAGCACCTTTTTAATGTTGTAAAATGACAAGAAAAATTTTAATTGGTTTGCAAATTTGAAGAATCACCTTGTCCATGAGTTGCCGGACAATGCCGTTCCACTCGCCGCTCTCCAAATCGTAAACCCCGTACTTGCCGTCCGGGACGAGTTCAATGCGATACTCGAAGCCGACCATGGCCGCGATCTCTCGCAGCAGGTCGATGCAGAAGCCCTCGTACCTAGCGTTGCCGGTCAGGTTCGACTGGGGCCGCATCATCACGTAAGGCGTCTCCTGTACACGTCACACACAAGCAAGCGCAAAAAAACAGGGTTACTAAGAGCCTAACTATAAAGACAGATGCGGGGTTGGTACATAATTTTACAAAATTTACACGCAAATACTTTCAGCGCTGACAATAATCGATAATAACTGGTGATTTCGAAAATCAGTATCAATAAAAAACCTTTTTATATTAGGATTTAACAATTCAGGAATCGCCCTCTAATTCGATCTCAATTCTAGAGTCCTAAAGATTAAACAGGAAAAAATAATTTAAATGTATTGACAAGATATTTGTTTGCGATTTTTAGACAATCCAATCGATCGGTAACCAAAAATCTGAGCGAATCACAAAAGAGACACCAACTTTAATTTAAATCCTTTAAAATGCAGGATTCTAAAATTTATATATTTTTTTTGAAATATGAAATACAAAATAAGACCATATTAAAGTTAAAACGTAGCTTTTCCTTCCAAATCATATCTCTCGGGCCGCTTTAGATACAAAATGGGAGATATTTATGGGTGCTATAGCCGTAAAATTACAATTAATAGCAAGGTTTTTGGGGTCAACGTGAGGAGCGAATATACTGTACGACGGACACGGCCTAGTTTAAATTTCTCTCTCTCGCATTTGGAACGTACGTGTTTCATGAGTTGCAGAACCATGCCGTTCCACTCGCCGGTGAGAGGGTCCTGCGCCCCGTACTTGCGATCCGGCACCAAATCCAAAATGTAGTCGAAACCGACCTCGCGCGACACCCTTTCCAACAGGTCCACGCAAAAGCCGTAAAATCTGGCGTTGCCGGTGTAGTTTTTTTCGTAATGCATCATCACGTACGGGTGCTCCTGACCCCCAAAATTGATTCGTTTTTCAATAAAAAATAACAAAAGGTGGATCAAATTTGGCCCAAGATATAATAAAATTTGAAAAATTGATGGTTCAATTAATAATTTTCAGAAAAGTGAAATTTTAGTTGGCCATCAGCTGATGTGAATAAATAAATAAAAAATCACGTTTTTCCACTTCAAGCAATATTAATTTTCTTTAATTTTTTAGTTTTTTTTATTGAAAGAAAATAAAAAATATTAATGATGTGGAAATTATTTAGTGTCCCTAAAATTTAAGAGTGAATAACCCAATGAAATGTTTAGACTGATTTTCATTCAGTTGTACTCGATATTTTGATTTGTAATAAACATTACAATTTTTAGTCAGATATTTTGTAATAAATTATTGAATCAACATGCTTGACACTGACTTCATCTTTAATTTAACAATTTTCAATTTTTCACATTTATCGAAATTTCACTACACATGTTGAGAAATTTCTATCCATGATGAAAAAACTGACTTATTTTTACAAATATTTCATATTTCGGTCGATAATTAAATGAACCATTTTCAAGTATACAAAACAGAAAAATTTTGAAGTCATTTTTGCTTTTTTTTATAATCATGTTATGAAAAGGGCCATACCAGACTGAATATCCACCTCAAATAAAAACTATCCATAATTGTTATTTTCCTTAGTTCGTCGTTTTTAAAAACTAGAAAATTCCGGATTATCTACTCACGAGTATAGTGATGACCACAAGGGTGACGTTCATGTTGCCGGGGTCGAAAAAGGCGCCCCTGTCCGTGATGTTGACCCCTCCCGTGGGCGACCACTCGCCCACCTTGACCAAGGCGTGCTGCTTGAGCTTCAGCAGGTCCAGCTTGAACTGGATGCGGCGACCTTCTTTGAACTCGATCGGTCCACTCAGCCCTTTGAACTCGACCTGGAAATTGGCACATTTTGTGAAAACATTGGAGGAGGGCCGACCGCAGCAGCCATCTTTTCTGATTATTTAATTAAAGGGCCCGAGGCGGGATTAAGTGGCACGTGCTGGGGATTACGGTTGGCAGGGTGGAGAGAAGAGAACACGGCCGGCTAAATTGAAAATAAGACAGCTTTTGCCTAACAACGGCTTTTCATAATTAACAATACAAGAACACGGGAATTTGCATTAATTTAGTTTCCTCCTATAAATTTTGATTCAAACGGGGAAAGATTTAACGAAAACAGGCGCTGCAGAAAAAGAGTAAAAATTTGGCAATAATTTATTTTTATTAAAAATTATTTTCCTTTAACTTTTCTCGTGAAGACGGTTTTTGTTTAAAAAAATTAAATCTCCAATGAAAAGTTCTTTAGACAAGTCTCAAAATAATTCTAAATTTAAACAAAATGAACAAATTACTCATACCAAAGAGTCAAGATTTGCATATTATCACAATTTTTATCGTAGATAAACTTACCGAATTAATGTAATTGATAAGACTGAGTCCTCCATCCCACGGTAGTTCGTCCTCGCACGAAACGTTCGAGATGCGTAGGGTGTGACTCTGCTCCAGGGTTTGCAGGCCGATCGCGAACACATGAACTGAATCGAACATTAAGGCAGGCTCGGCCTGCAACGAACGCACGCAAGGCAGATTAGAATTAATGCTGAATAGTAAGTAGAGTGCAAGACCATTTGTATGCCGGAGGCGACCAAGACAATTATGTGGGCAAAAGGGTTCAAGGCAAGGGCACTCGTGACATTTTTATTTATGACGAAATTTTAAATTGCTGTAAATAAAAAATCAGTTCAAAATTATCGTAATTGTTAAAAAATAAGAATTTTTCTATAAGATTATTCAGTTTAATTAATATTATTTTGTTTCAATCAGGTTTTTTTTTGTTATTGAAATACTGCTAAATTTTGTTTAAATTATTGTAAGATTTTTTACAGTAAAAAACTCTAAAAGTTGCTTGCACCATACAGATATTAAATAAATAAAATTAAAAGCTATTTAATTTTCCAATAAAGTAAAAAAAAGGTAAAGTTTCCTATTCATTTTTTTTTTCTTTATTTCAAACAGAGGGAAAAGGTAAATAAATTTTTATTCGTGGCAGCAACATAGGCAAATTGCCGCTGGGGTCTTCACTTGATCTCTCGTGAAAGTGGGTCACGGAATTCATAAACAGCCTCTCTCTGCAATCGGGAATTTTGGTCGCTCCCAACGGGTGAGTAAAACGGGATGCGTCAAACTCGTAAACCGCGCGCGCCGAAACGACTCTCCGTGCCGTAAATAAACGAGCGCGAATATCAAGTGTGTGTGAAAAGGAAAGAGAGAGAGAGAGAGCGAATGTCTCACCTGGATGATACGTGATTTGTTTAAAATGCTGTGCCCGACCGGCTGGAAACGCTCCATGTCGCGCAGAATTTCACGCACACCGACGTCTTCGGCGTCAACGATGCGGAAAGCGGTCATGTTGACAAAGTTGTACTTGAAGTCCTCAAGATCGAATGTCTCAATGTCCTGCAAAAGAAAAAAATTCGAAAATTATAGAGATTTGCTTTTTTTTTCAAATCTGAATAAAAATAATAATGAAAGTTAAAAAAATTAACGTTGAAAGTAAAAAAAATATTGAAATTAAGACAAATTTGATAAAATTTTAATTTTTTTTCAAAATTACAATTAATTATTATTTTTACTTACAAATGTTGTGAACAGGTAGTGGTATTTGTAGTCGTTCATTTGAAGTTGCAAAATCTGCGAACACAAACCCTGCCTTTTATTTACTCGCTCTTGACAATTATTTTATCATTCCGCTTCACGCGACTGCTATTCCACTTTTGGTGTAGGATATTCTAAAATTAAAACACTCACGCCTTTGAGAAAGTGTTGCATGTTCTCGGGCCGTGTGTCGACGACCAGGTTGTATATTTCCTTGGCCTTTATCTCCTTGAGCACGCGCCGGTACGAGTCCGGCGTCACCTGTCGAAGGTACACGTCCACGTCTTGCTCGCTTCGCACCAGTTCTCTCAATTTGATCAACCCTGAAATAGTCGTAAAGTTCAAATTAAAACAAAAAATAAATAATCCATCAGATTAATTAAAAAAGGTTAACATTTTTATAATTGAAAATTCATAGAAAGAAACAAATAAATAAATGTCTGCGTTTCATAAAATTTTTATAATTTACTTTTGCTTTGGATGAAATATGAAATTATTCTTTTTTCAAATATATTTCAGTGATTTTCTTTTTTAATAAATTTGAAAATTAAGAGTTTTTGCAATTTTATTATCTCTGGCAGTTTTATTGATAATCTCTATTATATATCGAAACAAATCACATTTTTTGTTGAAAATTTTTACATGGTATGTCTAAAATAATTATTTATATTAGTGAATTTTGATAATTTTACTGCTTTTCTTAAAATAAATTATTCACATATTTTTTTCAGAATTTTACATTTACTAACTTTATTGAAATTTTCAGAACTGTTAGCTGTCTACCTTTAATTACATCATCATTAATGTTTGCCTTTTTCTTATTTAAAATGTCATTTCCGCCATAAATTTATTTTCCAACATTGTTGTTGAAAATAAAGAGTTCAGAAAGTTCATCACCATCTTTTTTTGTTTGCGTTAATAAAAAAAAATAAGTCACAAAATTGTAAGAGCCATGCTAGAATCAATTTATTTACGAGGGAAAAGCCTTTCCCCCCATCTCAAAAAATAAAAACATCTCTCTATTTTTACGGTCATGTCGAAACATATCAAAAGAGACTTAAAAGAGCTGCATTTTCCATCAAATCGACTCGGCAATGAGCAATAAACAGCAGTTTTACGATTCCACGCGGAAAGAGGACGAACTTTTTACTCCTTTTAATATATATTTGTCTGAATAGGAGGGACGCTGCAAAAAAGTCAATAAGCTACTTTTGGTGCCGCTTGACGTAGGTCAGATTATTATTTCCTGTCGCTTATCTGGCCCCCGCGAGCCAAAAAAGAGGCGACCATTGTTGGCACGTCAAACTTTGGCCGCTCAAAAACACTTTTTGCCCGAGATAACTTTCGACTTTGACCTCTCCCCCGGCTGAATATCAATGAGACTCGCTCGGCGGCACGTGACGTGGGTTTTGCGAATGAATAATTGCTCGGGTTCATTTGCAGCGTGATTGAAGAATTTGTAATGTGTTAATGCACTCGATGCGAAAACATAAACCGGATTAATTGGATTTTGGAATTGGCTCTCGAGAGTCCGAAGAGCGTTTCCAATTGTTGAAACTCGGGGGCATACAATGGACGATTAATTAATTTTAATATATATAGAGAGTGCTTTATTAATTGGGAGGATAATTGAAATGTTTATTAATTAATTGTTAAAATGGATACGCATCAGTTGGTTAATTAATTTACTCGATGAATTCATCAATGAATTTGCTTTTCGTCTGAAATTTGGGTTGCAATAAAACTTATCAAAATATAAAATTAGTAAAAAACTTGATTAATGAATTTATATTTGGGTCGGATTTGGGTAAAGTCTTATGATTTTTGTTTCTAAATTAAATTATTTCTGACAATAGATCTTTGTGAATTTGGTCATTCTGAATAAAATATGTAAGAATTGAGGATACTTTTAAGACTTATTGTTTCACAAAACTTGAGATTTTTCTACTATTTTGAGCATTTGCTTAAAACTTATGTTTTTTTTTAAAGTCTGTCTTAAGTTTAAAGTTTTCTAAGGGACTTTTTTTAAATCTCTTTTCTTTGCAGAAATTTCATTAACTCAAAACTTTTTAGTCTGAAAATATCTGTTATAGATGATACAAATTTTTCTAATGCTCTTTCAACATTGATTTAAAAAAAATATTCCTATCCCATCAAGTTAGTAAGACGGAATTTAATATTTTATGAACGTTTTTGCCAAAAAAATTGGTGTTGAATGTATGCGTATGCAATCTGTATCGATTTGCAGTTAATGGTCGAGAGATATCAACAAACTAACCGAGTACAAACTTTCCCACCCTAGCGATTGCGAGCGAAACCCTCGGGCGAGTGTTTAATGCGTGTAATTAGTCACAACAGAGCGCAGATGTGCCATTTGCGGTTATGCAACCGGCCTGACACTCGGATCGCAGTTTCCGCACGTTTCGTTTTTGACCCGAATGTAATCAAACGCGCTGACAAAAAGAGAAGTTATATTTCGGAGTGGTGCTCGCTCGTTATCAGTTTCGCAGTTTGGCTTTCCGGCCCCGGCGCGTTCGGGCCAGGAAATTACTCTGTGTGTTTGTTGATTATGCAAGAATAATCCGTGGAGTGTGAAATGCACGACTCTTTTCGGCAAAAGAGGATGAACCTGATTGCTAAATCGGCTTATCAAGGGATGAATAGCAAAGCCTCTATCACGAAAATACATGTATACAAAAATATGTTTCACATTAAAACCAGCTTTACTGAATATACAAAATCGGAGGAGAATCCATACAAAAATATCAATTGCATCAATACCTTCATTTACTCATAAACGCCGCAAATCTTAAAGCTTTTAAAATATCATTTTTAAAATAAAAAACTTTTCTATCTATAGTAATAAAATGAAAATCAAAATTTAAATCCAAACGTTTCAAGTCACTTGTAAAATTTACGGAGGAAGAAGGTCGAAGTTAAATGGCAAAGCGTTAAAATATTCCCACCTCTTTAATTGGAAAATTAAGCTTTCATCCATAAATGCTGTGGATTTAAAAAAATCAATATATCTTTGCAAACCCAGCTTGTGTCAAATCTAATATTTTAATTAAAAGGAAATAATATTTGTTAATTTTTATTTAAATATTTCATTTTATAAATATATTTTATAAATTTTTATGGATACTTTTTTCAACGTTGCGTCAAATGACAAAAAAAGATATGCATCATAATTTGAAAAATAATCCCTTTCATTTAACAGACAAAATATTATTTTATTTGATTCCTGTCAAAAGTTTTTCCCAAGGCTTAAAAGCTTGGAGCATTTTGCAGTTTGAATAATCGAGTCACGAGCAGATATTAACGCCAGACTGACCAGACGAGTGTTAAAAAATGTTATTACGCAGCAAAACAGACCGACAGGTGACGAGAGTATTATTTTTTGGATTCGTCAACGTTTCGGCAAAATTGCTAAAACCGGCTGGAATGAACAAAATAAATAAATTTTGAAAAAAACTTACCGTAGTCCTCCTCGTAGACGATAGCCACCCTGGTCCAGTTGAGAAAGGCCATCACGTCTTGGTAGGCGGCGTTGAGAAGGGGTTGTGCGGGGTGCAGGTTGATGGAGAACTCCTTGAACTCGGGGTCGAGGTCCAGCCTGGCCTCGAGGTGCGGAATGTCCAGTGCGTCGCAGATCGAGTGAATGTGCGCGCCCAGCAGGGGCTCCGAAGGCCCGAACACGGCCTGCACGCCCCCATGCACTTGCTGACAAGCTGCAAAAAAATTTGATTTAAAATTGAAAATCAATTGCAACAATGACGGATTTTCAAGTTAAATTTAGTAATTTAGGGATTAATTTTGCTTTTTTCATTTTTGATAAAATCTTTAAAATTGGCCAAATAAATTTCATTAATCAATATAAAAAAAAACATTCAACAGTTAAGGTAAAATTTTTGTAGCTCTAGATTCAAACAAATATCAAATAATACATCCTATGTGCTGATTTAAAAATCTTTAGTAATTTTCGCAGCATAATTCGCAATTTTTATTATATACTTTGTCATTTTAAATTGCTAATAAATTTCTGGGACGGTTATTGTGATGAAACTGATGAATATTCGCGTGAAAATAGTAATAAAAAGTTTTAATTTTATAAAAATAACATAAAATCTATGAATAACTTTTATATAATTCAATGCAGCCATTAAACAGGGTTTTTTATTACTGCGAAAAGTTTTTATATTTTGGGTAAAATACCAAAATGACTAATAAAAATATGTATGAAATTTACAAATGAAATATTTTCACCCATTTAATAAAAACTTGTAGCGCTCGAAATTTCGGCAACAATATTTTTAATAATGATTCATTATTTTAGGCCGAAATCTCAATTTATATCATTCCAGACGATTTAGTAGCATTATTAACCTTTTAAAACAAATTCTTTTCTACTCGTATTTACTGGAAATTTAATCGCCCCATCTTTCTTTGAATTCCCACGGCGTGTCTTGCGAGATTTCGTGACGGCCGAGCGATTCAATTAAAATGCTGCCAGCGAGATGTTTATTCTGTTGCGGGCGATCCATCTTCAACTTTATTTTCTACCCTCCCTTGTGTGTGGGGGTGGCGCCGGCAAAAACCAACACACGCGTTATGGTTTTGCGCCTTGATGCCCCCGCCCTGCTGTCTTTTCTTCTTCCACAGGCTTGAAATTTATCGCAGGCCCCACGTGAGAGCAGAGCCCTGCGATTTTGTATAAAATGTATAAAAAAAAACGAAACAACGGACCAAGGAGCCCTGGGGGCGAAGCGAGTTGCTTCGTCTCAAAAACAACGGCCCAATTAACTCTCGAGCGACCTTCTTTTCAGCGGAACCTGAATTTCCGGGTTTAATAAAATTTAAATAAAAAAAAATCCCGACAAAAAAACATGGAAACTGAAACTTTGAAAAATTTGGTTTCTCTGGTAATTTTTTTAAGTTGAAATAGATTATTATTTTGTCGAAATGAAGAGATCGGGCTTTTCCTCGTTGCAGAATAAATTGTTTTTATTCAAAAAACAAATGGCTCTACCAGTTTCGGTCACGGTCTGCGACCCTATTTCATGAGCAAGAAAAAATACTTGCTGCTTGGTATCGGGCCCGTACCGAAGTCGAATTTGTTTGAAGAAGTTTGGAAAAGCCCGATCTCTTCATTTCCATGATCATCTCCTCGAGTGTCAACTTCTTCAAACAAATATTATTTTGTCATCACAATTTAGTTTTGAGTGAATTTTTTAAAATTAAAATAATCATCTTTAGGCTTTCGGCTATAAAACTTATTTTGGAAAAGTCAAATCAAGTCAGTCTTTACAACATTAAAGAATATTTTTGGAATTATAGCTAAAAATTCAACGAATTTTAAACTCCATTGTAACAAAGACTCGATACGACTTTGTAAAGAAAGTTTTTTTAATTTTGGCAATTTGGGGCGATTTGGGCATCGGAGAACGCTAGTTTTTTCCACTCATAGTCTCTTTATTTCCTTTAAAATCCAATTTTTACTTTTTTTCATTACAATGAAACTCTGCTCCTGTCGGCATAAATAAATGTGTGAATAATTAATCGGCGCAGGCACACCGCGTGTGCAAACGAAATCTGTGTTTGCAGTTGTAAAACTCTCGCAATTGAGATTTATTGCCGTGTGCTTGTTGCAGTGCACACGCGAATATAAAACATTAATAATGCTTTGCGAGATGGCGGTGTTTATTTTAGCAACTTTGGTTGCGTGGAAATATGCAAATGGCGTGACGAATGCTCGCCTCAGCTCCATATGGCTGCGGCGATAAAACAAGTAGCGAAAAGAGATATTGCCGCCGACGAGAGCTTTTATTGTCTGCCCGATATACCAAAATACTAAACATAAACACCCTAACTTTTTATATAAATTTTGCAAAGAGATAAGATTATTAATTAAAATGAAAAAAAAAATCAACATCAAGACAGTAAATTTGATTCCTTTTCATTGAAACAATTTCAATTAAATATTCATTAAATATTGTCTTATACTTTTTACATGTTTTTTTATGTTCATAAATATCAATAAGACTTTAATAATTTTCAGAATTTTTTTGCAATTTAGTTTTTAATTCATATAATTATTAACCCGTATTATTATTGATTAGCCTTTAACTTTATAAATTAAATTTTAAATAATAAATTATGATGTTTATTCAGATTAAATGGACAAAAAAATTGTGTTGCCCTGTTTACTATGGGCAAGGTTTCATGTAATTATCCAGATGCATAAATAACGCGGTCTGCGTTTTACGACGCAGCAGGCAGGCTTTCTCATCTCTGGTTTCTTGTTCTTAAAGTGCCATTAGCAGAGTCCCTCTGGAGCTGTATCAAGATGCACGCCTTCCCGAAGGTTCCGACAGAGTGCATAGGCAAATTGGCAAACGGCCACTCCAGACCTTGGGACCAACGAGAGCTTTTTGTCCTGCGATTATTAATTGCAAAAGTAATTAAAATCATTAAAATTCTTATTAATTTTGATAAACATCATTTTTGCAAAGTCTTGTTAAAAGTTGCATTTGTGACGATCCTTCAGGGGGAGATTAATTCCGGATTAATTTCGCTGCTAAACAATGAAGGAAGGGTGTGTTGACCTACTTCAGCGCAAATCCACAATTTGTCTTCATTATCAACGTCCGCACCTCGGCTGCACTATTAGAGGAAAAAGTACTGATTCTATCATTAAAAAAGAAAGCTCTTTATGATGGAATATTTTTCATAAAGTTATCAACCGAAATGATGATTAAATTCAGAAATTTATTTCAATATTCAAGAAATTTTTGTAAATTATTGAAATAATTATGTTTGTTGGATTTGAATGCATCTTTTCTTTTCTTTCCTTAAAAAAAAAATAAAAACGGATTTTATGGAATTCAAGCTTGCGTTCTTTGCCAAAACATCTTCTGCAGTCTTTGTGGCTGCTTCTCGTCGTTTGCGGAAATTTATTTGACAGAATCCAATTACAAAACCCCTTCCAGCTCCAGCGGACCGCTGGTCGGAATCATCCTTTCGCCCTCCCAATCAACGCGCATGGAAATGAGAACTTCGTCGGATCAGACGATAATCTCGGCGACTCTTCGATTTTCATCGCGCGTTTCTCACCCCTCCGCACCAGCAAACACCTCATTCTTGTTTCGCCTCTCGCTAAAGTTTAATCAAGTCGCGCAAAGTGAGCGAAAATCGCTAGAGTGCTCTTTGAAGCTCCAATGAAGAATAGTTTCTTGGAAATATTGTGAAAAATAATTCGAAAAGTTTAAATGAGAACAAAAATTCATTGATCAGTATTCGAAAATTGGGATATCCTTATAAAAATATTTCCAATAATTAATGATAATATGAAATTATCTAAAAATTCCTTGGTATTGAAATAAATACAATTTTTGACTTATGGAATTGGCCGAACTAATTTTCTTGTTAACATTGCACATTCATTTTTTTATCTCTCTTTGTTTTGCACCAAAAGGAAGTTCATTCTTAGGCATTGTTATGAATGTGCCTTCTATTGTTGTGCCACTATCGCAAGAAAAACCAAAACTTGGCGCGCGCTGAACAATATGCACGTAGTAATTTATGTAACGTGCCGAGCGCCAAGAAAACACTTCTTACAATGCTCGGCGCTGTTTTTGCGCTCCATTAATTAATTTTTGACGGGCGCTCACCAGAGACGACTAATTAGTGAACCGAGAGACGAGGAAGCGGGCCGGCCTGCTCTAATTTTAAAACAAATCGTTACTTTCCACAAAGAGAGGCTTGACTTTTCTTGACATTAAATTTCCAATATTATAAAAATAGTGATAATAAAACTCTTTGTGCGGAAGTGATTTTATATGGGAAAAATATAATCAATGGAAAATAAACGCATTAAAATAATTTAAAATGTTGAATAGAATTAAAAATGAATTACTATTTTTCTTAAATATTTGATTCTTTTTAATAGATTTTTCAATGAAATCCAAAACAAAATTCAAAGTTGAATTATTTTCAAACATTAATTTATTGACTTTATTTATTGGCAAATTTTTGTTGCGTCTTTCAAAAAACAGGAACTATTAAAACTTTTTATTAAAAAATCCAACAAGCTAACTTACTTCCATCGATTTTCAGAAACTTATGTTATTACATATTGAAAATTCAATTTTGTAATTTATTTTTTGTATTAAAAAAATCTTTAAAGAATGAATGAACTCCAGGAAGTTAATTTTGAATAAAAGTTAGAGTTAAAGAAAATTGCTTCTTTTTTTAAACTAAATATATAAAAAGAAAAGTTAAAGCACCGAGCTGAAGTTAAATATTGAAAAGCAATTTATTCAAAACGACAAGTTCTCTCGCATCTTTTTCCATCTCTTTCTCTCTTTTATACGCGTCGAGATTAAATTACGACTCGCGCCTGCAAAAAAGTTTTAATCTGTGAATTCCAATGGCGGCTGCTGCCATCCTCGTGAAAGATGAGCTCGAGAAGGACGGCGGAAAAAATTGCACAAACACACGCAGAGCAAGTCAGGATGTATCAGCCTCAAAAATCGATGGATAGATGCGAAGAAAGAAAGTTGGCCGCCGAATCAAATTATGCTAAAAAGAAGAAGAGACACAGAAACGCTTTTCCGAAATTTGTCAAAAAAGCTCCTAATTCCCATTGACGTCGGACACATTTCTCTCTTTTTTTCGTCAGCGCAAAACCAATTACCCCAAATCGCACGGCTTCTCGCCCATATACACTGCAAAAATGTGTGTAATGGCTCGAGTTAAGCATCTTTGCTCCGGAATAAAAAAAAAACACCACAAACAACGACGACGACGACACGCTGTAATGCGAATTTAAATATGAAATATGGCCAAAGCTTGATCCCCTCACTGTTTATTCTGCGCCTTAATATTGGCAAAAAATTTCTGCACAAGTTTCTTCTCCGACGGAAATTATCCAATTTGTACAAAAGCGTTTTGAGAAAATGCACCCCGTTGATAAATTAATAATGAGCCCAGGGACAAAAACGACAGAGTTGGAAGACAATGGGGCTCTTTGTTTCGCTCTCTGGCGAAAAAAGAGGCAGATAAGCCGGCTGGAATAAGAGACACGCGTGTGTGTAAAAAAGTTGCAACACACCAAACTTTGCAATACGCACACTTTTTTCCTCCGAATATGTTAAGCACAAAACTAGCTTTTTATCCGGGAAGTTTTATCCGAGTTAAAAATGTACACGGTTTTTATATTCGTCTGATAACTTTCTTTCCGCGACTCTATTTTTTTTGTGGCGAACTTTTGAATCTCGGTACCTTTTTTGGAGGCGTGGAAACTGTCGTCTTTGGGCACGTACTGGATGTCGTAAACCAAGGTCGTCTTTGGCAAGAGGGTCTTGTCTTTGTTAATTCTGTAGACGGCGTACTTGAAAGCCAGCTCGGTGCTGCTGTCCTTTTGGTCCTCTGTAAAAATAGCACCTGCAACACACAAAGCAAATTTATTGATTTTATTCAAGCGTATTTAGGGCAATCCTTATCTTTGATAAAAAAATTCTCTTCAAATAATTCTGACAACTTAAAACTTAATTATTATTCCTACAAATCTTGCTTGCTTTAAGTGAAACCTAAAATGAGTGATTTGAAGGGCAAAATAGGCGCCAATTTAGGTAGTTTAAGATGTAAATAGTTGAATATTTTTTAATTTCAAAATTATGAGTTTAAATTTTATGTAAAATATCTTAATGGGATGTTTGAAGTGAAATTATTTTACAGGAAAAATAAGTATGAAACGCTGAAAAAATTAAAATTCGCGATTTTAAATAATAACAGGGAACTAAATTTTTATTTACTCAATTATTGGAAAATTGATGACTTTTTATCTAAAGATAATTCAAAATTATAAAATTCTTAAGATGCATCAAAATAATAGAAATTAAATTATTATTTTAAATAATATTTTAAATGATTATAATCTTTTCTTATTGTTGTTAACATTAAAGTTCATGACGCAGTTTTTGATTTAAAATGAAATTAAATTCTGCTCGTCTTCCCAAACAGAATTTTCTACTGTATCAATTGCGAAAAAAATTGAATTAATTCCTTTGAAATAAGAATAATTCAAGTTTTTTGTAAAAAAAGAAAACAACCATTTTACGTCAATTACATCACAGGTCTGACTGCGCAAAGATTAATTTTATCAGAAGTATTTGGCAATAATCGATGCAATTAATAATTGCTTATCATTTTCAAGAGCATTTTTTGATAAAAAGCCTTCTTAGCATCGCTTGTCAAAAGGTTAAAAATATAACATGAAGCTGCTCGCACTTGTCAGTCTTCTCTGCTATTTGTCTTGCCGAGTTTCTGCAGGTAATAAATTTTTTTTACTACTTTTTTAAAAGCGCTAAACATTTTCACAGATAATGAGTTTAAAGGACTTCACGTGTTTGAATTCAACAACAGCACGTACGAAGTTATTGACGCATACGTAAGTGCGTAGATTTCGTAAAGTAAAAATTTAAAATAAAAATTAAAGGTGACCTGGTACGAGGCCAATTACGCTTGCAAACTGTTCGGAATGTTCTTGGTGAGCGTCGAAACGGAAGAAGAGGACGCTGCACTTAGACAAGCTATAGGTATTTTTTATTTTTAAATCCATTGTATAATTTGGAATTTTGCAGTCGATTACGTTGCTGATGATTTCTGGACGTCGGGAAATAATCTTTTCGACTTGGGCCATTTTTATTGGGACACGACGGGACGTGCTTTGGGGCCTTTCACGAACTGGGCCGAGAACCACCCCGACGGAGGCGCTCAAAATTGCATCAGCCTCAACGGTTCCTTTGGACACAAATGGACGGACAGATTTTGCTCCAATTCTGCCAGATTCATTTGTGAAAAGGCGCCGTGCTCTTAAAATATAAATAGGAGTGTCACAAGAATAAATGTAATAAAATTGTAGAAATGAAAATATAAATACAAAATGTAAATATTTAAGTACATAATTATTGCCAGTTCCTTTTAAATATTTTTTTATTATAAGTATGTTATACACTCTTTAAGTAATTAAATAATAAGTTCAAATAAAATTTAGGAAAATAATGATTTTGTTATTAATTTCAATATAATTAGATTTAATAAAATTTGATTTTAACTAATTTTCTTAAGTACATACAACAACAATAATTTTTTTGATACATTTAAAATATTAAAAATTATATGCTGGTTCTATTTGTTTGTTTGTTTTTTAATCCAGACCAAAAACAATTAAAATTATAAACATATTCACAACTTTCAACAAGAAATTGAACTGCAAAATTGCATCTCTTTACGTGTATCTTTTTCAGATTAAATTTTTTTAAGAAATTCAGCCAGCAAAGCATGCAAGTGGGCGATTTTTTCGCGGCTTCAGAGTTGCTCAGCACGTCGAAGCGATATCTCACAAATTAGAGCAGTAAAATTCAACAATGCATCATCGTTTAGTTGCTCGACCATCGCGATAATGGCCAGTCGTTTGTTCGCCAAGGGTGGCATTTTTATTTTCTCACCCTTCTGCACCGGCGGCACGTTCGGTGCATAGTCAAGCAGCTCGAGCTGTGAGAAAAATTCACCGGCGGCGATAAAAGTTGCAATTGTGCATCGTGAGCGAGTTTCGTCGCTTCCGTTTTTAGCTCTGCTCGGTGCCGAACCACAAACGTGAAGAGGCAAATAAATTAATACAAAAAAGTGAACGATCCTTACTTTTTTTCTGGAGCGCAAGTAGTTTACTGCACAGCGAACCACCGAATGAGGACAAATGAAAAATTGTGCCCATCGAAATTGAGCAAAATTAAAAATTGTCAATTGATTGTTACAATCAATTATTTTAAAAAAAAATTAGCAACATTATTTATAGAAAATCTAAGAATTTTAAATAAAATTAAACACAGATCTGAATCAATTTTTAACTTTCAAGAAAATAAATTTTTAAGTGCTATAAATTGTAAATTAAAAAAAAAATTAAACTTTTAAACAATCTCAATCTTAGTTTATTTATTTGCAGATTTCCCCTGTTGAACCAGGGAAAACATTTATTTCACACAATACGCCCTATGCAGAATTTTCAGTTCAATAAATCGAAAATTGTCTCTGAGAGAACAGAGGGTTGTTATTGTCAAGCACGTATGAAAGTGGTAAATCGAGTACGTACAAGAGGCACTGTTTGCAAATTCAACGCACGATTCAATTTTCTCCCAAAACTTTGCATAATGTTGAAGCACATTCGTGAATAACTTACGACTTTACTACTTGAGAGTTGAAATATGCTTCCTCTTGGAAAATTGGCAATCAAAATGAATCACGTTTCATGAGAATAAGTGATTAAGTTGGTTATTTGTAACTAACAAAAATTGACGGAAATGAAAAATTTTCAAAGTATATTTCTCTAGAAAAGTGGATTTGATTGAAATGATCAAAGTTTCAAGAAGAACAGATGAAACTGGATAAAATTTGATGAGATTTTTATGAAAACCGTGATTTTTTATAATTTATTTTTCTTAAAAATTGGATTTTACCAAATTTCCTAAACAAGCTTGAGCTTCTTTTTATTTTGTTATTAAAACTTTCGCGTCACTTTTTCCAGCACAAAAACTGAGCAGCAATTTGCAAATATAATAAAACGAAAGTCGGAGCCGAAATGCGATTTCGCAGCCAAAAACATTACACGCCATTTGATTTACATTACACGCGCGCTCCCGGAATAGAAAGAAAGGAGGAATTTTCGGGTGTGTGGATGAAAATTACTATTTCGCATCGGTGCCGCTTTTATTTCATTGGCCCGGGGGAAAAATAGGCTCGGCTGGCAATAAAACGCTCAATACAGGATGTATGTGAGAGCGAGTTGATGATATTAGGGCGCGCACGCAGAATTGGAGGAGGGCCAGTGCCGCCGGAATCTCTCTATATCGCTTTTCTCTCTTTCTCTCAAATAAATAGGCAGCCCGCAACACTCTCCATAATAAAAGTGGCTCTTCCTTGCTTCTCGTCGGCGAAGGCAGGTCTAGCGCGAGTTAAAGCCCTTCGGCGTGGAAATATACGTGTCCCGGGTGTTTTGACAGTAAAATTTTATACAATGCGCGACTCTTTGCGCCGCACGTGTATTTGCTTTTTATTTTACACTCGCGTAGTTTTTCCAGCCGGCGCTTCACTTTTTTTTCTCCGTTAAAATAGGAAATATTATCTGAAATTCCGTGATTTTTTGTGTTTGTCAGGGCAAAGCATTTTTCCGTCGCATGTAATTATGATTTATACGAGCCGCGGCGAGGAATAATTTTTTATTGTTATGATGCATTAATAAAACGGGGGACTCGGCGGTGATAAATTATTTTACAGAGAGAAAGACGGAAAAAGGGGAACTGAGCAAAATAAACTGCATTTGGCTGCAGTAAAACGGAGTTTGAGTAACTTTTTATGATGCAAAAGATAACGTTTTTGGATTTGGTTCAAAATTTTTCAACTGAGGTTCACCGAGTGACCGCAAGAGAAACGTTGTGCTAAAAAATAACATCAAAATCACTTAAATTTTTGCAACTCACAATAGGCAAAAATAATTTGAATTTATAAATTAATTTTTTTTATGATAATAAAAAGCTAAAAAATTTTGGTTCAACAGTCAATTATTTAAATATTTTAACATTTAACACATAAATTTAACATTTGCAGAAAAATCCCAATTTCACATTGAATGAAATTATATTAAAATAAGTCTAACTAAATTTGCATACTATTTAGCAATACAAGTCAAAGGGTCATGATGAGATAAGCATTTTAGTCTGCGGATGCTGCGTATTTCGGCTGCTGTATGAGTCATGATTGTTTCAAATTCCAGCTCTCGGTAAATGTCCAAGACTTGGTGGGCTTTATAATAGCGCTCATTGCAGGGAGCCAGCAATAGTACTACTGCTGGTAGCTGTGTGGTCCATTGTCCATTGAACGTGCGGGAGGCTGTGAATGTAAGACTTTTTCTTGTGTCAACTTTCTTTGCAATTTGCGTCTTTCAAATCTTTTGTTTGTTTCATTTATTTCACGAGTGGTTTTTTCTGTTTTTCTTTTTTTTAATTTTTTTATCCATTCCACTTTTATTTTTAGCTCATTCATTTTTGAAAGCTGAAAAAAGCACGAGTTCATGTAAGATTTTTTTTCTTTTAAATTTCCAAAAATATAAATTTTTTCAGCATAAAATGCCGCGTGGAAGGTGGTTTGATGGAATCGAGTTGGAGAAGTTATCTGAACAAAGCGAGAGTTTTGCCTACGTCAGAGACAAAATGTCAAAGACCATCTGCCACGATGATGTTGAAAGCTACACCATCAAAAAGGTACGATTAATTGTGTTTATTCTGCTTAAAGCATGAAAATGATTGGTAAAAATAAACAGAAAATTATAAATAATATTGATTTTTTTATAGGTTTATAGAATAAACAATAAGTACACTTGGCCGCGCTACAAGAAAAGGAGAGCACAAATATCAAAGGAGCTGGGTGGGCATTGGGTCGAGGAGAAACACCTCTTCCACGGCTCGCCGCAAGCCAAGAAAATCGCCTGCGAAGGTTTCGACCGCGGTTTCGCCAAAAATTCCGGGATGTTTGGAAAAGGTGAGCGAATTCTATTATAAAAAAACAAATTTGTTCATTATCTATATTTTTTAGGGGTTTACTTTGCCGAGAATTCGTCCAAGAGCAACAATTACGCATTCGGCAATTTCAAACCGTGCGACCAGCACCACAATCGGCGCTGCCAGATTTGCACAAGACAAATGTTGATTTGCAAAGTGGCTCTGGGCAGAATTCATCACTTGACCTCGACCGCCACTTCCCTGCCCAGAGGTTATCACTCGGTCAAGGCAGAGCCCAACAGCAATTTTCTTTTACATCCCGAATACATAATTTACAATGATGACCAGGTACGTGGAAAGTTATTTGGACCCAAAAGTTTTAATTATTTTTTTTTCGTAAGGTCTATCCGAGCTTTTTGGTGGAGTACAAGACAAACTACAAGAGGAAACCCTAAAATATTGCCAAAAAATCACAAAGATTTGCTCAAGATATTTCACAAGGCCAAATTCTTTGCCATTTTCCTATCTAAAACTTTAAATTTTTATTGAAAAATTGATCTGTTATTCAAAGGTATATATTTTTAAAATATATGTAATTAATTGTGATATCTGCTAAAATTTTTCGACAAAATGAAACTCTGTAGCCTTCATAATTCTCCAAATGATATTTTAAAACATAGAAAGTTCATTGAGTTTTAAAAAGCTTGAATTTATATAAGATTTACAATTTTGATAAATAAAGTTGTTTTTATTTCACAATTCTTGATTTTATTTTCCATTATTTTCGTCCTCTTCAGCTCAGATTCGATTTAATTTCCAAATTGAGCTCACTTCCTCATTTGAAGCAAAGTCCGGCCGCGGAGAAAAAGAGGCCCTAGTTTCTTTCCTAGCACGGAAGAGGGTCGTTTCATTCAATTTCTACCCCTTGGGCTGGCTGCGGCGCCCCCTTGATATCGCATTATCTGGCACCAGAGCAGGATGCACGAGAGTGCTGCTGGTTGTTGCTCCCGGCCTCGTTTCTTCTTCTTTCCTATTTTATTATATTTCACGCCACGCAGCAATAACAGGCGAATAAATATAAAAAAGAGCGACGAAATGAGTGCGAAAATACGAGGCTGTGAGTAAGTGGCCGGCCTTTTAGCCTTTTAGCCACTCGGCTCGCGGCTACTCGACCCAGCCCTCTCGTTTTTATAATATTTATTGCCTTTTATTTGTCTTCCATCAAAGCAAAGATATTCCGCCCTCGGCGGGAGAAATTCTTGCCAGAAGAAAAACAAAGGCTTTTAATCATATTTTTTTTTCGGCGCGCCGAGATAAATTTGATTAATCACGCCTTGTTTGGTATTCAGGACAAGTTTTTGCAGATCCCGATTGATTTATTGGAACAACGGAAGGCGCCGGGTTTTGTCCTTAAGAAGAATGATAATCGAACAAGTGAAACGTTTTGGCAAAATATTCAAAACAAGAATTGAAAAAATAATTAAAAATAAATAAAAATGCAAAGTAAGTTACTGAAATGACTCATTCTATATTCTATAACCTGGGTTTTTTATAATTAATTTTTATTTCATTTTATCAATATTAAAATTAATGTAGAATTAGTATTTGTATTCTCTGAAATGAATTCTGACGCTGGATCTTTGTGAATTGCGTCATTCTGATTGAATATCTGCGAGAAATTAATTTTGAATAAGACTTTTTCATACGAATAAAGAGTAAGACTAATGCTCAGACTTTTCAGGCTAAAATTTCTAGAATATTAAAGTGCAGTTTTGTGCTCCTCATTCGATCAAAATCATGTTCACCGTTTATGTGATTGGGTGGAGGGAGGCGCGGGGCCTCAACGAGGGCTGTTTTAATTAGCCACGCCAAACTTGGCTAATATTCACTTTAACCGAAACTTATCAAAACATCCTCTCGCTCTCTCGATTCTTCGCAGTGCAATCTCGAGAGCAGCTCATCACTTTCCCGCCCGCTATCTAATTAAGTGAAGAGGCGTGAAAATTTTCCAGCTGCCACGGGCAATCGCTTGTGGAGCTCCGCCTGCGTAAAAAAACTTGAAAGGACCAAAGGATTATGGAAATGTCTGAACTTAATTCCAAACACAATTTAATTAATGGCATTTGAAATGAAAAATAACCAAAATCTTTCAAAAATTGCAAGAAAAGCTTGATCTTAATTAAATAAATGGATTCATTACCCTGGAATTGCACAGAAAACAATTAAAAGACTTCATTAGTTGATCTAAATGTAAATTTTGAGGTTAATCAAATCAACTCATTAACTTTTAACTTTAATCTGATCATTTAGTAAACTTTTTTGTTCTCTTTCGGTGAAAAAATTCTTTCACAGATATTATATGATAATTCAAAAGGATTTTTAATAAAGATTGAAATCAGAATGTTTAATGAATTAAACAAAAACATTTTTGAATAATTCCAAACTTTTGATATTTCAATATTAAATCCATTAAATTTTCTTTCGTAATTGCAAATTTACAGACGGAAAAAATGGCGAGAGTGTATCTTTCTCCATCTTCATCTCAGAGAGGTACAAGCGCAGCCCACCCACTTTAATATGCAAATGAGATGGTTTGCTTTGAAGTCAGTCTGATGCACACTCTCAAGTCTGGGCAGACGAAATCTAGTGTGAAAGCGCGCGAAACCACATCAGAGTCGATGATGTGACGAGCTGCTTTTCATGCCGACTTGTTAAAGCCGCCGCCGCCGCCGCCGCACTAATTGGAGCAGAAAACGGCCGTGACGAGACTCACGAGAGAGACGACGACGAGCAAGTTTGGCGCAAAAATTAAGCTCAGGAGATGGATTTATTTCCGACTGACCGACACGAGAGCAGGAGATTTTCTCTCCGGGCCTTCGCACAGGGACCATCAATTACCGACCCAGGCCAAAACTGCCGAGATTAGAAGGCGTGACCGAAGGGCTTCAACGAGCCCCAAACTAAATCGCTGACTTCGGATAAATTCACCAATAAATACTGATTGGGAAAAGAATTCCCCACAATTTTAAAGTTTCTAAATTTTTGTCTTCCATTTTCTTTTTCACAAATAAAAAGTAGAAGGAATGAGACGGAGGAGGTCTCTTTTGAAAGGGTTGGTATGGAAGTTGCTGTTTTTGTTGCGCCATCCAACTTGGCATATAAAACACCGGCTAAAAGGGAAGTTTGAATGGCTCAAAGAAATCTAGGTCAGCTGACCAACTCGGTTATCTGCGGACTTGCATCGTTTTTTAGGCACCAGCACAGAGAGGGAAAAGTTAAAAGTTTGAGGGTTTGAAACAGGAACAAAAAACATTATGTTTATTTGTTGTAATTTTAAGTAGAAATTTTGAATTATTTTAAATTTTACGAAATATATCTGTGATCTTTATCAGAAACGGATTTTTCGAGAAAACTTATTTAATTATAATATTTAAATTAAATTTTAGCTTAAAATCAGGTAAAAATGTGACTTATATTTTCTTAATAAACAAAAATTTAATCCAAATTTTTCCTTCCTTTTTCGCAATTATTTGTTGTTCTTTTTTTAATTATTTCTTTTATTTAAATGATACTTTTTGATTGAATTGTAATGTCAATTTATATAAATAATTTTTTCCAAAAATATATAAAAAAAAGTAATTAAATTGCAATTGATCTTTTTAATCTCCTCTCCTTTCTTTTATTAACAAATCCGAAGCGTGCAGGAACACAATTTTTTCCGCATGTTCTTTGGAATTGATTGGCGGCCGTTTGACCCGGCGGTCGCGCCCCCGCTGTTCGAGTGCCAGACGACTGCTCGCAGGGCATTATATATATTATTTATGCGCCGAGTGTCACTGGCTTGCTTCGTTCGGTCTCGCGGTTTGCCGCTGCTCAGTGACAGGGAAAGAGAATGGCCCGATAGATTATGGGAAGCATTTCAATTGCTGTGCGAAACCCTCGCTTGACAGCGTAATCTAGTTATACGTACACACAGCACACACACACTCACGCTCTCTGGCTAGAAAAGCACACGACCGCGCCGCCGATGCTTGTAATTATGACAACCGCCCTCCGCTCGCGAGTCAGATTAGCCCTGGCTTCATTACAGCCGCGACATTTCATCCATTTATCCTGTCATTTTTCAGTTTTATTCTGAAATATATTTTAAGTGTAAATTTACAGAGGATTGAATTTTATTTTCTAATTCAATTTTTTATTTTGAGGGAAAACATAAAAAGTTTTATCAATTTTACATCTATGAGATTTTTTCAATAAACTATAGTTTATTGAAAATACCTAGGGCTGAGCGATTTAGTCTATTTTTAAGGTCAAAATAGTCGACTTTTTTAGTCGATTTTCGGCCTTAATAAAGTCGATTTTAGTCGATTTTCGAGCAAAAATAGTCTTCTTTAGTCGATTTTGAAAATTTAATAATCAAGGCAAGAAGGTAAAAAACAAAATTTTCCAAAAAAATTGGCTAGAAATGATCCAAATGGTCTGCCCGAAATTTTTAGATGGTTGCTAAAAAACATTTTTTTTTTCAGACAAGACCGTCGCAAGTAGAGTGTTTGACGAGACCCAGCCATTTCAATAATAACATGTTTGGTGCTAAATACGAGCGGAGCAAAAAACTCTGCAATTCTTACGGCTCCAGTGCCTCCAGTTCGGCGAGTAGGTTTAAGTTGGAAACACTTTTGCTTCCAAATTGAGCCTATGAGTTTTAATAAGTTGTTTACTAGAGGCTGCCAATTCTCTCCCAATGTGATTATTTGTTTGACTTGTTGCGAGAGAATAAATGAAATGAACTGCAATTGTGCCGTAAAATTAAGAGTCAAGGCTGTTCTTTCACACTATTTTAAAGCTTATTTTCTAGATTTTGAAGCAGAACGAGCTATACTTTGACTGAGACCTCAACATTTCAATAATACAATGTTTAGTGCTAAATACGAGCGGAGCAAAAGACTCTGCTATTGTGCCGTAAAATTAAGAGTCAAGGCTGTTCTTTCACACTATTTTAAAGCTTTTTTTCTAGATTTTGAAGCAGTACGAGCTATACTTTGACTGAGACCTCAACATTTCAATAATACCATGTTTAGTGCTTAATAGGAGCGGAGCAAAAGACTCTGCTATTGTGCCGTAAAATTAAGAGTTAAGGCTGCTCTTTCACACTATTTTAAAGCTTTTTTTCTAGATTTTGAAGCAGTACGAGCTATACTTTGACTGAGACCTCAACATTTCAATAATACCATGTTTAGTGCTTAATACAAGCGGAGCAAAAATCTTTCAATTGTGCTGTAAAATTAAGAGTCAAGGCCGTTCTTTCACACTATTTTTAAGCTTTTTTTCTAGATTTTGAAGCAGTACGAGCTATACTTTGACTGAGACCTCAACATTTCAATAATACCATGTTTAGTGCTTAATAGGAGCGGAGCAAAAGACTCTGCTATTGTGCCGTAAAATTAAGAGTTAAGGCTGCTCTTTCACACTATTTTAAAGCTTTTTTTCTAGATTTTGAAGCAGTACGAGCTATACTTTGACTGAGATCTCAACATTTCAATAATACCATGTTTGGTGCTAAATATGAGCGGAGCAAAAGACTCTGCTATTGTGCCGTAAAATTAAGAGTTAAGGCTGCTCTTTCACACTATTTTAAAGCTTTTTTTCTAGATTTTGAAGCAGTACGAGCTATACTTTGACTGAGATCTCAACATTTCAATAATACCATGTTTGGTGCTAAATATGAGCGGAGCAAAAGACTCTGCTATTGTG